GGGCACCCTGGGGTGGTGGTCCAATGCAGGTAAGCAGGGGGGCTTGGGGGCTTCAAGGCAATGAGAGCATGTGGGGGCCCCTTTGCCACACGGGGCGGAGAGGGAAAGAAACTAGTGAAGACAGCACTGCCTAGGGCAGTGCTGAGAGAGGGTGACCAGACCCCAGAGGCCGTGAAGGGGTGGGGGTGGGGGAGCAGAACAGGGCAGCTGGGGGTTGGGGCGGGAAAGGGTTCCTGGCTTCTGGCTGGAAATGTTTCTCTTCCTCAGAGAGAGTAAGTCTGCCTTGGGCAGGCGCCTGGGATGCCATGTCTGAGCCCTGGGGCGCAGCAGCCAGGTGAGCTGAGACAGCCCCAGGACCCTGCTTGTTAGAGGAAGTTGCCTCTTGTGGGGACGCAGACCCTAGGGTCCAACAGAGAGGGTCTCTCTGGGTCAGGACTGCCAGGGGGTGAAAGAGGCTCTTTGGGAGGCAGGGGAGTGGCCACTGAGAGGGGTGAGCCCAGGCCAGCTGGGCTCAGGGCCTCCTGGCGCTTGGCTTTTTGGCTCCTGCTGTACCCTGCTGCTGTGATTCTGGCTGCAGTGGACCCTTCCTGCTTCCCTGGATTTGTGGCCACTGCCCCTAAGACGCCCTGGCTCTCCCAGAGGCTAGATGACCAGTATTTACCTTGCTTCGTGGCTTGGAGTGTTAAACGTCTCCCTGCTTCTAGGCGTCTCCTGCCTGGACCAGCCCACCTGCCTCCGCTGGCCCAGCCCCGCCAAAACTTCCCCACACCTCTGGCGTCCATGGTCAGCCTCTAGCGTGGGCCCCCCCTGCTCTACCACCACTCGTGGCACCCTTCTCCCCTGGGTACATGTCCAGCTTCCTCCTGTCGTTCCTGGCACATCTCCCTCCTGCCAATCCTTGGCCTGGGTGGGAGGGCACTTCATTGGGTGGCTTGACTCCTCCTCCTCATTGCAGGGTGCTCCCAAGAGATGGAGAGGGCCCTGTGTCATCTGTGCAGACAGAGCCCAGCCACACTCCTCTGAGCCTCAGTTTCCCACCTGTGAACACTGAACAGCGCTGTCTTGCCTCAGGACTGCTGAGAGCAAAGGGGCAGGGCTTGAGTGCTGCCCACACGACGCGCGGGCACTCAGAGACAACAGCCTGATCCCCTGCTCCAACTGCCTACTCGTCTCCAGAGTGACCAGTCGGCGCTGGGCTGGCTCTGCTGGCTCTTCGGGCACCAGCCCATGCCGGGCAGGCTGACTCATGCGTAGCGGCGTGGGCACAATGGTTCCACTCTGCGGCTGCTATTTATAGATCTCAGGCCAGGCTTTTGGCCTCCTAAGCCAGAGGAGGGCAGGCCCCAGAGTTCCTCCTCTCTTCCCAGCTCCCCCCCACTTGGAGTACCCCAAACTAGGACAATAGTACCTCCTTCCCCACGTGCATCGACAGGGAGCCCTGGCCTTGTGAGAGGAGCCAGGGGTGTGTTGGGAAGCACCAGCTCTGCTCACTTCAGACAGAGGCTCAGAGAAGGCCATGGGCTTGTCCGGGGTGGCCCTGCTGGGAAGAGGCCAGATTGGGGCTGAAACCAGGGTCTGTTGTCTTCTTGCTGGTCCTGGCCATCGGCCCAGGAACACACTTTCCATCACCCCTGTCCCGAAGAGAGCCTCTCCCCTGCCAGGGGTAGCTGTTCCCCTGCACAGTTCCAGCGCCCGCCTGACCTTGCAGCCTGAGGCGCACCTCCCTGCCCCAAAGCTCAGGCCCAGCACAGCTGCTGTGCAGAGAAGGCAGTTGGTGCTCCAGACGGGTGAAATTATGCAGATGAAGCAGAGCTGAGAGCTACGGCCTCTCACCGCTCTCGTTTGACCCACAAATGCTTTTTATTGGTTGGTTTTTAAGTTTGGTGTCAGCACTTTGTATGAGATCATTGGTTACAAACCGGTTTGCAAAAACAAACTGGCTGGCGACCCCAGGACTGGATTCTCCCAGCTAGGGCCTGCAGAGCTGGACTGCAGCCCATGGTGGAAGATACAAGTGCTGCCTGGAGGCAGGGGGCTGCCCCTGAAATGTGGGGCTCTTTGAGGATGGGGTCACAGAACCCTTTGCAGCAGACAGGATAAACGTCTGGGACACTTGCATCTTTTTGCAAAGAGCCAGGGCTGCTTGGTCCATGAGATAAAAGGACTGTAACGCAAAGATCCCCGGGCCTTTGCATAGCCTGCTGCCTCTCCCAGAAAAGCTCTTCATCTTGTGACTCACATGTAACTCTCAGATAACCCTCCCTGGCCACACTACTAAAACGGTCTCCATTTTCACCTTGCCTTGTCTTCGGGCCACTCACTGCTACCAATATTGCACATGTTGATAGAACATCCTCCTTTCCTAGAACAAGTTGCCTCTCACCAGGGAGTGATTCTGCCTCCCCCACCCTGGGGTGGAGGGGCTGGACCATGTCCAGGGACACCTATGATCACAACTAAGGGGTGTACCTGGCATTGACAGAGTAGGGGCCAGGGTGCTGGCCCACACCACCCAGCACGCAGAGTGAGCTGGCCCTGATGTCTGCAGTGCAGGGGAACAGGCCCTGAACTAGGGCAATGATGGCAAACGAGATTCCCAGATCACAGCCGCAGCTCCACCTGGAGGCAGGCAGATTCTCCAGGCCACTCTCAAAGCCAGGACACTCCTCACACCCTACAGGGTATGCAGAGAGCCTCGGCTGACTACGGTGCTGGGCGGGGAGACCCTGCGCCAGGGGCACTTTACCAGCCTCCTGGTGAGATCCGAACTGGCCAACCAGTCCCTCCAGGGACAGCCCTTTGAGTTACCATGCTCCAGGGAACCGGGCGCTCTGAAGGACTCACTCACCAACTTCTCCCCAGGCTGGACAGTGCCATCCCATTGGACCTTGGCCAGAAGCTGGGTCAGCTGGTCCTGCCCAGCAGCTGAGGTGGAGAACGGGGAGCGGGTGCCGGGTGGTGTCTTCCTGTTCCAGTCCAGCCTGGCCTCAGCACCAAGTCTCCACAGAAAGGCCCAGCCCTGCAGCAGTCCCCAGACTGGCTCTGGGAAGTCCGATGGCTCTGCTCCAGGCCGAGACAGCTCAGGGAGGGCACGGGGCAGCTGAGACAGGAGGGACGGATGCCCCTCTCTGCCTGGCAAGGCTGAGGGCCAGGCTGTGGGCCAGGCCAGGCCCGAGGCGCTGTAGCTGTCGCCTGCTACCGAGGGCCACTGAAGATGCAGGCAAATTGGGAGCTCGCGTTCCTGTTCCCGCCCCACACTAATAACTTCTTGCCAGAAACACAAACAGCAGGCAGCAGAAGCCCCGACACACTATGATTACAGTTGATTCGATCCATGAGGTCTGGGTGCCGCCTCGTAATTTCCCCCCGTTTGTCTGCAGATCTAGGAGGGGAACCCAGAGGCCTCCAGCGCCATTACCACCCTGAAACCCGACTTGCGGCACCTCAAGGAGGGTGGTGGCCCAGAGGGGTGCAACGGGGCCCACAGGGCTTGGCCTGGCCGCCGCGTCCAGTCCTGAGAGGTCTCCCGCAGAGCTCCGCATGGCGCCCCCACCCCAGCCACACCCACATGGCACGCGCTGGTCCCAGCAGAGTCGCTGCCCAGGGGTCAGCGCCTCTCACAAAGGCAGTGCTTGTATCTGGAGCTCCAGGTTTCGGTTTTTGAGCTGAAAACTGTGATGTCTGGGAGCGCTCATGGCCAAGGAACGGCAGCTGTGCCTGGTCCCTGCCAGGAGCGTCTGGCAGCCCGTGGTCCTCTCCCCGGGGTCACAGGCACGCGACCTCGAAGGGACCTGGCTTGTTTGCAAACCATCTGTCCTGGGTCTCCCTCCCTACCAGTTAGGGGGGAATTTCTGGCCCCCCAAACTGCCCACTCTGAGGGGCTGTCCCGGGGACTGTGCAGCACCCCTATTGTCACCCACCGAATGGCAGGGCACCCCGTCATGAGTCAGAAGGCCTCAGGCGCTGCCGGGTCCAGGAGGCGAGGGGCAGAAATACCCGCCCGAGACCCTGGTTAGCAGGCCCCTGGGAAACAGGACGTGGCCCCACGGCCAGGCCGATTTCTGTGACGCTGCCAAGCAGCAGAGATGGGTGGAGGCTTCGGTGTCACCTGCCTGCGGGGGTTAGTCCAGGGCCCAGGCAGCGACCGAGCTTCGACCTTTTTCGAAAGAAAGCTCCCCTCACCTCATGGCAGAGCAGTGGGGGATGAAATCTGTGCTGGCCCGAGACTCTGGCCCAGCTCACACCTCCTGCACCACAGGGGTGACTAGGCCCTGGCTGGGAGGTCAGTTCTGAATAAAGGGGTGATGTGTCTTTGGAGGCCCCAACTGGGGTGTGGGTCCTCCCCCCAACATATCCAGGGAGCGGCAGGCAGGTGTGTACTAATCCCAGGGCTATCTTAAGGAGCAGATGGGAGAGTGGGACCCCAATATATGTGCCTCTTACACTGATGAGGACCCAGAACTGGGGACCCCTGGAGAACGCACTCCTGCCCCTTGCTGATTTCAGGGATTGGGATCCATCTTCCTGTGTGAGAGGCCTGATGCCTTCACCCCTCCCCTCCCCAGTCTACGCCATAGAACACACCCTCTGCGGAGGGGAGCTCTGTTTCTCCACCCTCCCACCCCAGCAGGCATCTGGGGTGCTACAGAGGTCCACACTTGCTCCATGAAACTGGGGAAGGAAGGGGGCAGGCCGAGGTTGGACACACCAGGTCAGGATGGCATGCCCACACATGGGGCACTTCCCAGCACAGGGGTTTCAGGTCAAGCCCGGCTCAGAGGCCCAGGCCTGTCCCTGGGAAGTCAGAAGTTCCAACAGTCAAATACCTGCCACAGCAACGGGGTGGTGACCCCAACGGAGAGACCTTCATCCTGGGGACCCAGGAGTTGCAGTGCAAGTGACACGGGAGCAGGAACAGCCTTCCCCATCACCCCCTGCTCCCCAAAACTTGCAACACGGAAAGAGGCCAAGGCTGTGGAACAGGTTGTCTTCTAGAACCTTGGGCTGCCGGAGACCACTGGGTGGCGGCAGGCCGGCCCTGGGGGCACCGACCTGAGACCCTCAGTTAGCTGCTCCTAGGACACCCAAGGTGGCTAGCGCGGTGGGCTGGAGCCCGCACTGAGCCCGGGCCACAGGCCAGGGGCCCACCCACTTTCCTTGGGGAGCTCAAGTGGCCCTTTGCAGTTGGTCTTTCTAGTGTCGTCAGCACTGTGGGGGCAATGGGAGACACAGGGAGGAATCCGGACTCTAGCAGGCACACACCAGGCTCTTGTGTGCAACAGCCAAGTGGGCGAGAGAGGAAGCAGGAAAGGTGTAAGCAGACCCAAGCGGCCAGCTGCAAAGCGGGGCGCTCAGGCCCAGAGGCAGGATGCCGGTCGCGCCCAGGCGGCCAGCCCACCGTGGTCCACGCTCCTCCCACCGCGCCGCCAGCAGCAAGGCTCCCAGCAAACCCCCAGGGGTGGTTTCATGGTCTCATTCCCCAGGCCCGTGGCTGGGTTGCCAGGAGAACAGTTGAGGCCCTGGAGAGGAGGTTTCCACACTGGCCCCAAGGGCTGCACCAGCCTGGCGGGGCTGCGGGGCGCCGCTCCCCTCACCGGCGGAGGGGCCTGGCTGCCTTTGCACGTGTCTGGCGGTGAGACCGCACCGCCCTGGCTCCACTGCCGGCAGCGGTCGTTCCTCTGGAGACTGGTGCACCCAGGGTTGGGAACTGACGGCAAGCCCCTCCCCGCACCCCGACCCTGCCCGAGTGTCCTCGGCCCTCGTGTCTGTTCCTTCGGGAATCAAGACAGCCACCCTGGCCCAGAGGACCCAGCCCCTGGAGAAAAGCCTCCCCACCCCAAGGGCCCACGACAGGTGGCAGGGACAGAGAGAGGGTCCTGTGGCGTCCAGGAGGCACAGGCGTGGGGGCAGGGCTGGGAGCCGTTCTCTGGGGACAGAAGCAGCTCGGTGCTAGTGGCCTCTGTGAGCAGTCAGCCAAGGGCAGAGATCTGCACCCTAACAGGTTCAGAGGCCAGGAGCTGGGCACACTCCTGTCCTCGTGCATGCAGGAGGTGTGTGTGTGGGGGGACACGGGGGGCGTGTCTCACACCCCCAGCCTCACCTGAATGCCCAGTGATACCTCAGAAGGAGATGCCAGACCCCACTGCCCAAGTTGACATGGCCACACAGCTTTGGTGAATACTTTTAAGAGAAGTATTTTTAAAAGTAGTAGCAGTGCTCCAAGGCTTGGGTGTAGGTTCTGGGGCAACTGATCCCGAGGGGGACCTCTGTGGGGTCCTCTGTGTGTGGGCGGCAGCCTGGGGCCTGAGCTCTCCCCCCGAGGGGGACAGAGCTGGGGGCGTGGCCTGGGTCTGGCCAGGGGTTCCCGGCGGGGTCTGGTCGGGCGGGCTGGGGTAACCACACTGGCGACAGGCTAGTCACCACTTAAGGAAGACCATGGCGGCCAGAATGGCGTAACCCAGCACCAGGAAGAGGACTTTGAGCAGCCGGTCACTCTTCTCCTCCAGCTCCTTTGCTAGGATCTCGAAGAAGGTGACGAAAAGGAAGGTGCCCCCTGCCAGGCCCTGCAGGAGCACAGAGGCCACACTGCTGGGCACACCCTGCGCGCTCTCGATGCCCAGGCCGATGCCGATGCCCAGAGGGATCATGGCGCTCACGGTGATGGCCAGCTTGGCCGCGTCCCTCAGCGGCATTGCACTCCTGGCCATGCTGATGCCCAGGGCCACTGCCACCAGTGTCTCGTGGATGGCTACCCCCACGAACAAGCTCACCACCTTCTCACCTTCCTCCTGCAGGCCCAGGGCCAGGCCCTCAAAAATAGAGTGGGCTGACAGGGCGAAGACCAGGCTGAGCAGCCGCAAGGGACTGGAGCGCGACAGCTCCTGGACGCTCAGCCCGTGGTGGCTGTGGGGGTGGGGCTCCACGTAGAGCCCGTGGCCCCGGCCGCCCCCCATGAAGGGGCTCTCGTACTCTGAGTCGCTGCCAGCATCAGAGCCGGCGTTGAAGGTCTCCAGGTCGATGAAGGATGGCTTCTCCTTGCGGAAGGTCAGGACGAGCTGCTCCAGGAACACGGTCATGAAGAAGCCCAGCATCATAATGGTCTCCGCCAGCGGATAGTCAGTGCTGATGTGTCCGAGGCTCAGGACTTTCTGCAGCTGGAGTGGGACAGGAGGAACAGAGGGAGGAAGGCGGGGAGGGAAAGATGGGCATTCAGAGGCGGGCAGCTGGACCCCTCACCACCACTCAGCGGGCGTCACCAGAAACACTCATGAGGTGAGATTCAAAAAAGCGGGAGGGCAGCTCACCCTGAAGACTGGGGAAGGGAATCATGAGGCTGCCCATTCCATTGCCTACATCAACCGAATAATATAAAAACCAACAGTGGGTTGCCCTGTGGTCCCCAAGAGATGTGTGCACCCGCAGCCTCAGAACATGACCTTACGTGGAGGAAGGGCCACGTCAGATGTGTGAAGGTGTCTGGGCTGCCCTCGCCAATGCTCAGGACATCAGAATGAAGCCCACCTGGTGGTGAGATCTTCAAACAAGTGAGTCCATCAAAATGAGGCCTCACCCCACAGGACCATGGTGTAAGGAGGCTGCAAGAAGGGAAACACCTCGGCAGGTCCCAGCCTGCCAGCACCAGTCAGACTTCTGGCTCCCGCTCAGGAACAGTAACCCTGGCTTACGCAGCTCCAGGACTCCCGCATGTAAGACACAGACTGTGACTAGACCATCCTGGACTAGGGTGGACCCTCAATCTGAAGATGGGTGTCCCCAGAAGGGATGTAAAAGGAGAGGGCCCCGGGGAGGTCCCGGGAAGATGGAGGCAGATGAGGCAGATGAGCGGGGCGTCTACAAGTCAACAGGACCCTGCAGGGGAGCCCCACGGGGTGCTCCCTCGCGCCTCAGGAGTGAGCAGCCCGGCTCACACATGGGTCTTGGACTATTATGACTCGAACTACCCCTCCTGCCCAAACGCCCACCTGGCATTTGCTTCCCCATAACCGGCGGTGCGAGTTCTGCTTCCCACCAGTCCCATCGCACCAGCCTCGGGGTGACATGCTGGCTATATCCTCTGTGCCACGGGAACCCCCCGAGTAAGTGCTGTCAATGGGAACTTCCTGGACGGAAAAGCAGTCTCTACTGGAGCTCTCTGACACAGAGGACACCAGCCACCACGACTGAGTGTGGCCGGCATGGCCAAGGACAGAATGCTGCGTTGCACCTCACTGCCATTCACTTAGCGCTGATGAGCCGCATCCAGCGAGGGGCCGCCGGAGAGGCGGCGTCAGGCGCTGTCCCAGGCGAGAGGCAGGTCGTTTCCTGGCCTCCTAAGGGCGCTGCTACATGGAGCTCTTTCTAGCTGTGGGCACTGAGAACATGCCAGCGGCTCTGTTCCGTTTGTCCTTCCGCCCAGTTATGCAGCCAGCTGGCTGACCCCATGCTGGAGGTCTTGGCTTACGTTAATTTCCAAGGACTTTATTTAAACAGGTACCCCGGCCCCTCCCTCCAGCTTACAGCACCCTCCTGTCTCCCATCATGGCCCTCATCACACACCTACGCACAGCTCAACCGGGCCCGTCTGGAGGACAGTGGCAGTGTCTGGCCACCTTGGGCTTCGGAGGATGCTGATGATCGCGACAGGGAATCATGAGGCTGAGCAATACCCCGGGCCCCGCCCACGCGTGCCAGGACATCCCCATCACAACAACACAGACGTCCCCAGTCATGCCCAGTGCAACCTGGGCTGGGCACCCCCTGAGCAGAAGGCCGTGTTTCCATGGAGAGACTGCTGCACTCATTTGCTAACCCCCGCGGGGAGTCCCGCATGCACCTCTAGGGAAGATGCCAACTCATAAAAACACCAGCTACCCCAAGGGGGTGATGTGGTCGGGGGAGGTGAGACCAATGCATAAGGGTCACAGATCGTGGCCCTGTGCTCTGGGGTGTGCGCCAGGCACTGTGGGCTGGGGCTGAGCGAGGGCGAGGAGGGGCCCGAGCCACTGAGGCAGGGGAAGGCTGCGAGCAGGGGCGCAGCACGGAAGTGCCTGGGGGTCACGAGGGCCTGCCGATGAAGGGGCCTGCAGTCCGGACCAAGGCAGGAGGATGGCAGGGAAAAAAGGGGTGGGCAGGTGCTAAAGAGGAGCCTGGCATGCAGATGCTTCAGAGGACTCTGAACTATCGTCCCGGTGTGGGTTTCTTTGCTGTGGAGTGAAGCAACAAAGCTCAGTGGCATCAAACAGCAAAAGGGTCCTCTGGTTCTGAACATGAACGATCGGATCACAGGCTGAGGGCTGTCTGCTCAGGGCCCCTTCCACTTCCAATGAAGGTCTGGGTGAGCCCTCACCTTCCAGGATCACCAGGGTGGGGAGGACCTGATCATCGACAGCTGTGGTACTGCAAACCCTGTTTCCTTGCAGGACATTGGCAAGGGACTGCTCTTGGCTCCCAGAGGTGCCCCCTCAGTTCCTCCCCAGGCATTCTGTGCCTTGCACAATGGCCTCTTGCTTGCAGAGGCCAGCAGGTGCAGGCCTGCTACTGTTTCTGGTCTCTCTTACAACTCACCTGATTAGGCCAGACCCTCCCTTTGATGACCACAAAGCCAACTGATTGGAGGCCACAATCACATCAGCAAGACCCTTCTTGCTGCCCTAACCACAGGAGTGATGTCTCACAGCCACAGCCCCACCCACACTTGTGCAGATGGTATGGCACAGGGTATGCCCACCAGGGGTCAGGAATCCGGGCTTATATTTGAATTCCACCCATCACAACAACAACCTCCAAGGAATAAATCTCAGATGACACCCTTCTTTTCTTGACACCCAGCACATGGAGAGGGGGTGAAGTGGTAAATCTAGGATCTCTGTCTGCTTGGAGAAGAGCAGGAGTCCTGACTGTCCACCAAGCACATGGCCTGACACAAATCCATCTCCATATCTGAACTGGCCAAGAGAGAGAAGCGTGGCGGGCCTTCCGGCTATGGCTCTTTAGGAGTCACGCTGGGTGCCAACCTGGGAAAGCTCAAGCACAGGTCACTGGGGGTCTGTGCCAGGTTGGCTGCCAGTGGCCCCTCCTCTTGAGCACGGCGGGAAAATACCACAGCGAAGGGACTGCTGTCACTGATCGCATGAGTCTGTAACTTCTGTGCTACAGGCATATTCTACTGTCTTCAGCTTGCTGAAAAGCACAAAAGTGATGCTGGGGAGGCCCAGGAGGCAAGGGATTGAGGGCAATATTCAGGGAGAAAGTAGGCCCTGAGGCTGGCCACTAGGAAGGAACTGAACCCTATGTACCACTGTGAGCGCTTGGAAGCCGACCCATCTCCCGCTACACCTGAGATGAGGCCCTTGGCCCTCTGCTGCTGCCTAAGAGCCTGCACACAGCTGCTACCAAGCCACGCCCAGTCTCTTAGCCACCAGCACAGAAGCTGTGAGGCAACACATGTGTGCTACATTACTAAGTCACTGATACAGGGCTCTCAGGTGGGCAGGCCTCAGGAAACGGCGAGCTACCTGGCAGAGTGACCTCACTGGCCGGGTAATGACTGATAAGCCCACTAGCTGGGAAGCTCAATTCAAGGATCAATCAACTGACAGTCACAGCAAATTCCGTTCCTATTTTCATCGCCCTCATCGTGTCAAAGACCCCACTAAACTCGGCATCGGTCTTGAAAGGCTGTCAGAGACCCTTGGCGGTAGGTGCCACGGGCTGCTGCGACCCTTACCTTTTCCCTCACAGCTGGCAGTAAAGCATTGAAGCACGTGGCCAGAAAGACTCCACCCCCGAAGGTGTTGCAGAGTGAGAGAACCTTCTTGGAGCGGTGGGCCTTCTCAAAATCAGTCTCGATGATCTTCACGGGCAGCAGGGAGCCAAGCAGCATGAAGAAGAATACGCCCACCATGCACAGGATTTTGGCCACCAGCAACTTCATCATGGTGGCGGCGGCCCGGGCTGCTCCAGTCACTGCAGGGCCAAACCATGTGTGGACGTCCACTCCAGGCCCCCACGGCGCTCCTGAACACAGCTGCGCAGCTGGGTGCTCATGCCTCAGACCAGCCACTGTGAATGCCAGGGACACCAAGTCAGTCATTGTGTTACCTGAGCAGCTCCAGCGGCCAAGCCCATCACCTCCTTACTTCACTCAGTTCTGGGACTGGCACACAACACCACCTCTTCTAGAAAATTCTCTACTGTGACACTGTTCAATATGGCAGCTACTAGTCACAAATATCTGTTCAGACTAATTAAGTAAACTGTCGAGTTTAGCTCCTTACCATAATACCCACATTTCAGATGTCCAGAAGCCAGCTGAGACTAGCACAGCAGAGTACATTTCCACCCTTGCAGCCTGTATTACTGGGGAGTGCCGCTCCGACCACTCCCCGCCGCCTTCACATACAATCCAAATGCTGTACTCTGAGGCCCAGGTGCTGGGCCATCAGCCCTTGCTAGGAGTTGCTTCCCCCTCTCCATCCTGGTCTTTGTGGTCCTTGGATGAGCCAAGCCCACTCCTGCCTCAGGGTCTTTGCTTCAGTTCTCATGTCTGGAACACTTCTCTTCCCACCTCCCAATGTCTCAGCTCTCAGTTCATTTCATCGCGTATCCCTCAGAAGGCCCCTGGCAGACCCTTGCCTTCAGCTGGACCCCTTGGGCCCACTAAGAGGTCTGGAGCAGAACAGGTGCTGCGCGAACGATGACTGAATATGTGGGCCTCTCTGCCTGGCTCAATGAGCCAAAAGCAGAACACTCTGGCCCCCAAAATGCCACTGTTAGTAGAGAGGCCTTGGCTGCTCCCGGGCCCTTAGGTCCCACCAGCCTCATCCTCATAGCTCTTTCCCACGTTTTGAGTTCTTCGTCTCAGTTCAGTCATCACTGTTCAGAGAGGTCTCCCCATCCCCTTCTCTGCTACTATTTTAAGCACCTTTTGTGCTATGGGAACCACATATCTTAAAGTCCTTGAATGTACTCCTGCTGGCAGCTGCCAGCTCCGCGGGGGCAGGCAGTCTGTGTTGCTCAAGCTGGACCACCCAGCGCTGCGCCAAGCACACGACAGTTGCTCAATCAAAACACCTGCCAGGTCTCTGGCCGCCGTCAGTCTGTGGGGAGGGTGGCCCGGACTCTCAACCCAGGGGCTGACTGGCGTGGGCCGCGGAGGGGAGGGTTAGTTCATTCATTCGCTCGTTCGTTCAGCACCTGCTGGGCACCGCCAGTGTGCCCCGCGCGGCACGGGTGCCCAGGGCGGAGGGCGAGGCCGGCCAGGTCCCAGGCGGAGGGGCAGTCACGCTCTCCTGGGGAAGCCGGAGGCAAACCCCACAGGTCTCGCCCATAAAGGTGAATTCAGTGGCGAGCGCCCGGCTAGCCGGCGCCCCTCCGCCGGGCGAAGGCCGCCACCTGCTCTGCCCCGGTCCCTGCCCACACGTACCTCCCCTGGACCTTCAGCCGCCGCCGCTCAACCGCCGGGCGGTCTAGACCCCACAGCCACCGTCCCGGCCGAGGCCCCAGCTAGGCGCGCTGCGGCTCACGCCCCGCCCACACCCGTGACCATTGGCCTCCCCGAGAGCCACGGGCCCAACGCGCCACACCATTGGACGCTGTGGCTGCCACTAATCCTGCGGCCCCACCTCTCAGCTCGGCTAGGGGAAATAGTTCCTCCCGCAGAGCGGTGGTACAGCCAGCAGACGGTTCCGGAGAGAAACTCTGGACTTAGAGAAAAGGTTCCGGGGAGATCTGGCTTGCAGAGCTGTCCAGGAGCGCTTGGTGCTGAATCTCTCTCCAATCGAGGCCAGGCTATTGAAGGCAAGCAATTTCCTAGAGGAAACAGTTCCTCTCTGAGCGTCCAAGAAGTTAGCGAACTTCCCATCAGCTTAAGAAGCAGATCTAGGGCCCTCCTTGGTGGTGGAGCATTATGAAGCTAAAGCCACTTCAGCAGAAGTTCAATTCCCAGTCAGGGAGGTGACCCACATGGCGTGGCAGATCTCTTCTGGTCTGCCCCGTGCTCCTTTCAGCAGTGTACTTTGTCAGTTGGCCTGTTCTGCTCTCTACTCTCTCTGGTGAATCCTTTCACCGAACCTGCACCTCCGGCCTGTACCCCAGTTCTGTATGCATAAATAAATACATCTTTAAAAAAGAAGCAAATCTATAGATTCAATTATTTTCGCATATTGTGTACCAGGACCTTTTCTAGAAGAACATCTATCAACAAAGCAAAGCTCTCTCCCTGTTTGGAGTTTAAATTCTAGAAGAGGACGTTGAAAATGGATAAACACATTAAGGGAATTTACCATTTTGCTGACTGAGGAACTCTGCCAAAACCTTTCTTAGAGGGAACCCAAGGATCCCACTCATTCACTGTGCCCCAGCATCTGAACCCCATCAGTTTGTGCCCCAAGATGTCAATGTTAGGAAAGGCAGAAAAACTCTTCCAGGTCAAAGGAGACTATATAAATAGACATGACAACTTAATTGCACTGGGTGATCTCTGATCAAGTTATGGATTTTTAAAAAAGATTTATTTATTTATCCATACAGAACTGAGGTACAGGTTGGAGGTGCAGGGGCAGTGAGAAGATTCACCAGAGACAGAGCGGGGAGCAGAACAGGCAGATCGATGAAGTACACTGCTGAGGAGAGCAGCGGGAGGGTCAGGAGTAGTCTGTCCACTATGTGGTCACCTCTGGGGCGGGGATTGAACTCATGCTTAAGTGGCTTTAGCTTCTCAATGCTGTGCTTTAACCCACTGCACCACCAGGGAGGGCCCTAAGTTATGGGTTTTAAAGACTATGCTAGACAGGACACCACTGAAACAAGGGACAACGTTTGAATATGCACTACTAATTTCTGGCGGAAATTATTTCAAATTATGGACTATATAATTCCTATTTATAAACAATGACCACACACACACATCACAGGGTTATTAATCACACAGAGAAAGGTCTAAAAGTTTATAAACAAACTGTTTATTAACAGCAAGATCAGGATGGGGGTAAGGTGTAACTTTCCATTGTTTTAAGGGAGAAGTAGGACCAAGAAGGTGGACTGGGGAAACTTGTGCTTATCTCCTCACCTGAACACAACAAATCTAGACTAAACCATACCGCAGACCTGAAACTCAATAATTAGAGCTTCCACTACAAAGGATAAACAGGTAACACCCAGAGGGATGGGCAAGACAGAGATGTACTTGCCAAGGAAGAAACTATTTGCAGGAACAGTGATATACAATTGGGACATTCCTAATGTATGGGACTTAATACCCAGCACCCCAACCTTATGATCCAGAATAACCCTGCACTGACGACTAGAGGGGAAGTGAGAGCAGGCAATTGGAAGAAAAGGTACAGACTAAGAACCAACCCTCAATAGGCTCTTGAACAGACTCATTTTCCCTATGACTTAAAGCAATAACACCAGTCTGAGCAATGCTTGTGCTTTGGAAAAGGAACCCCAGTCACCAGCCTTATTGTGGAGGACTGGGAGGCAAAGAATGAATGAATAACTCATGAATAACCTGAGGTCAGTGTCACCCCCAGTGAGTGGGCGGCATCTTGGAAGCCACCCTCCACACTACTAGACCCCAGGGCAAAGCCCTGATAAGAATCTGCTGCACCACCTACAGGTAGTAGCCAAACTACTGTGATAGTTGAAGAGAACAGCCAAGAGGGTCCTTCCCATCACTAGTGACAAGCAGGCCTGGCCCCTGCAGGCCACCTGCTTGCTAACAAGCAGGCTGGGTTCCCACAGCCAGCAAGCACCAGCTTGGGTACCTAGCTTTCTAAATCGATTCTAATTTTTATTTAGGGCTTTTGTGTTTGTACCTTACACTTTGATAAAACATGTAAGTACAATAATGAGAGATAGGTCTACATGAGCTTACAAAAGAACTGGGCAGAATTTGTGGTCTGGACTCTCCAACTTCACATTGAATAGATTCATATTCTCGGCCGTTTTGCATAGGCAATGTGGGATCGTGGCCCCCTTGTAACACAAATGCCCACCAGAACGTCCCTGGTTGGGAGGGCCCGTCATTTCAAAAGGAGCACAGCGTTGATCTCCAGGACTTGGACGGTTTCAGGTTCAGCCCAAGAGCTTTCACGATTAGCTGGAACCTTATTTCTGGCCATTCCCTTCACTCTACGAGGCTGGAGGCACCAGTGCACCACCTGGTGGCCGAGTGAGCTACCAATCACCTCAACTTCTCTCCAGGGGTAGATGGTGGGGATCAGGCGGAAAGGGCTTTGCTCAACTCTTGGCAAATAAGCTTTTCTTGGAAGGTGCGATTGATGGGAAGTGCTGAGGAAGCCACCAAGTTACCCAGGATGGCATAAAACCTTTGCTATGTATAGCACATGAATTGTTTTTGCTGGTGGCAATTTATATGGCTTGGGAAATTTACATTTGACACATTTACCTAGGGCTGGCAGAGTAGTGGGAATACTAGAGTGGTAATACTCCTGACATCTGCCTGGACCATACTCTGTGGGGGTCCACCTTGGGTGCTGTGGCGTGTCCAGTGACATCCCTTGCCCTACCCACTTGATGCCAGAAGCATTTCCAATGTGACAATCACTGATGTCCCCAGATCATCAGCTATTGTCCTCTGAGGAGCGAAGATGAGCAGTCGCTTCTGTGAAAGAGACATACTGTTTCTTGTTGCTTCCTGGGACTAAATTTGGGTGGGATTGCAGCCTAGTGCTCAGGAACTATGTGCCAAGGGTGTGGAGATAGAGAAAACAAACTTCCTAACCTTATCTACAGCAGCAGAAACTGCCTTAAATCTTAGGACTCAACCTACTCCTGGAAGCATTTCCAAGTCACGACTTAACCTAATTCCATATTTAACAGACATTTTTTGGCTCAGTGCACTGCTGACAGGTATGTTCAGAAATATCCTATTTCTAATTTGTGGGGGATCAAGTGGTAATTATCCTTTACACACCTCTCAAGATATTTAGAGAATATCCTTGGGCTTGGAGATGAGACGTTGGCAGCTACTTCTACTTTTCCCACTGCCAAGGGGCTCTTGGCCTTTCCTGAACACTTGTGCTGGGGTTGGGGTACGATTGGGAGAGGTTGTTCAGGATGAACAAACAGGATAGGCGGGAACAAAGGTCCCCTGCGGTCTAACCAGCACATGCAGAATGCTGCTGGAATGCTGCTCACATTCACGGCCTCTCGAAGCGGGCTCTGCAGCAGGTGCACCGGGGTCACCTGCGCTGCTTAAGCTGTTCAACGCCAGTCGCATGCACCAGGTAGCCCCGTCTCCTGCTGACCATGGCCACCCTACTCACATAAGGCAGAACCTATGTTGGCAGGAAGCAGTATCCCTCCTGCTGACCATGACCACCCTACTCACATAAGGCAGAACTCACATAAGGCAGAACCTATGTTGGCGGGAAGCAGTATCCTTGGGTAATTTCAATGTGCGGATCGGAGCAGGGGGGAGAGAGGGGTCCTAACCCTCCCTTCTGAACTGGGGACCACCAGACCAGTCTAACTGAAGACTCAAAGGACACAGGATTTGTTCCCTGGCACCAGGGAACATTTTGGAAGAGTTCCCATGAGAATGAAGCCACGGACATTGGAGCCATGTGGAGGCTTGGGGTGGGGATTCACTGGAGACCAAAGAGACTCCGGCCGGACCCAGGCACCTGTGACTCACACCCGCTCCTCCGTCTTAGAACATCGACAGGACAGGCCCCTTCCGCTTGGCAGAAGCTAAGACGGACAGAACCTCGTCTTAAGTTCCAGCCTGTGAGCCCCGCAGAGACACGCTAGCCAGGCATGCCCACCTCCTGGTGGTAAGGCCATGCACAATCCCTCCCACTGTGTGAGCTGAAGACGTAAAAAAGAGTCACACACGACTGGGCTTGCACTAGGTTTCTATTTTTGTTCAAAATATTAACTGTGCACAGAAACTTTTAGGATAGTAGGTCTAGCAGTGTCTGCCTCTGAGTGCAATTTACTTCTCCTATTTATTCTTATGACTTTTTTACCCTTTGCATGTCACTTCAACTAAAAATAACATGAAACTTTGGGTATGATGGCCAGTCGGCATGGAGACACACCCTGCCCCCCTTAACCTGCCCCCACCCCGAACAGCTTCCCCTAAAGTCATCAGATTACTCTTACCACCTGTGACGATACATTTTGTCGCCTCGACAGTGTCACTGGGTGCTCAGACACTTGGTCAAACACCCTGGGTGTACCTGAGTGTTTGTGGATACGGCTGGTGCTGGGACTGCAGGCTACACAAAGCAGGCCGTTCCCCAGATGAGGTGGGCCTTGTCCTGTTAGCCAAAGGCCCAGATGGAACCAAAGGGCTGCAGAGGAAACCAGCTTCTGCCTGGCTTAAGCTGGAGCACTGGGGTGCTCTTCCTGCCTCTGGACTCCAGGGTGCTCGGGGTCTCACGCCTACTTCCCTGAGACAGGAGCGGTGCCATGGTCCTCCCGACTCTTGGGCCTCTGACTTAGGCCGGGACTGCCCTCTGGCCTCCGCTTCCAGGCCACAGACCTTGGAACTCCAGTCCCCGTGACAAGTGAGCCCATCCCTCGGAACGAGTTTCCAACTACACCCCCGTCAGTTCTGCTTCTCCGCAGAATGCCTACACCACATCCACACTTGTCTTGGACTGTGAGTGAACTGTGTGGGGAGAATTCCTTGGGAGACCCGCTTCACGACTGTTTGGTTCCCACCCTCCTGATCCCCAGGAGTCCCTGGGGCCCTGGGAAGCCCTTAGAAGCCAGCGCTGCCTACTACTCCTGCACTGCTCATCACCCATCCGGGCAGCCTGGCCCTGGGCCACCTCATTTGCTTGCCCACCAGCGGGCCACTCAGCTCACACTGCCCCAAGTGAGAAATGGGGCTAGCAGCCTCCCGACGCCCTTCCCCAGCTCCCGACGCCCTTCTCAGCTGTGCTCTTCTGCTTGAGATAACCAAGGATGGGGTCTGGGCCGGGCCACTTTCTGCGAAGGCTGCCCTGAAGACTGTGAGGTCTCGAGTAGCACCCCTGACCTCACTGGATGCCTGGAGCACCCCTCATTTTTGAAAACCACAAATGCCCCAGAGAAGGCTCACATGCCGGGGCAGAGCTGCAGCTGAGCCCTGCGGAGACCCTACCGCTCTGTCAGGCAGGCCAGTGCCTCTCGCACTCCCACGCACCTCCTGGGCTGAGCGCCCTGGGGAGAGGCCCTGAACTCTGAGCATTCTCTGGTGAGTGGATGGCACAGGCCATCTTCGGAGGCCGGTCCTCGGCAGGTGCGCTTTCTGCACCGGGAGTGGGCTCTACCAGCTGAGGGCGCACTGGGTAACAAAGCTCAGTCCCCTGCCCTGTGAAATGCACATAGAAGCGCTCTCCTGTGAGAGCTCACGCTGGAAGCCTTCTATGGCGGAGGCCCTTTGGACTCCAGAATGGACAGTCCATGTGCTGAGAACACACTGGAAGCCTTGCACGATGACCCTACTGCTTTGCCCCCAGAAATTTGTGTCTGGCCATCTCCTGGTCATCCTTTATACCTGGGAAGTTATGGACACAGGCCAAGCCCATATTTGCTGTTTCTAGAACCACCTGAGAACTCTGGCACAGGAAGCGTTTACAGTCGCACTGTCACACACGACATGTCCAGCGGCCACAGAGCCCAGCCCGTCTGTGGACGCCAGGCTGCAGGTTCTGGGCACCTGCGGCAGGGCAGGGGGTGGGCAGCACTGAGGTCCATGCAGAGTCAGCAGAGGTCACGCATTTTATTCCCCGCATATTACACTCATCGCCACACTAGCACTCAAGTCAGGACGCGCCTTCCTGGGTGGATGAGGGACGGCGGTGGCTGGCGGTGGCCCTTCTTCCTACTGGCCACTGACACACACATGAAGCGGATCTACCTCAGATAGGTGAAGCCCATCAGGGAGCCTCCAATGTCCTGGCTGCCGAAACCAGAGGGGTGAGGGGGCCAGGAGTGAGGGGCCATCCGAGCAGGCTGCTCAGCTGCCAGCTGGTGCGCCTGCCCCCCCGGAGGCAGCCCTGGTGGCTGCATGGCAACTCAGGTGGAGGCGAGTGGCACCTGGACAGGAGGGAGAGCCCTCCAAGGCCTGGACAAGCCAGGCTGGCAGGACAGACAGGCTAGCATGGACTCAGGGGGCCAGGCCAGGTCACCATCAAGCCGGAGGCCTGTTGTGAACACAGGGAAGGGTGTCGGAGTTCAGAACGATGGAAGGAAAGTCACAGAGGCTGGTCCTGTGTTCCCAGGGTGTCCTACCCCACCAGGGCACAGGGAACAGAACTGTCTGGAAGGAATCTGCAACTAAGAGTTCCTCATGCAAAATCCAAGATCCAAGAGCCTGGGCAGACCCGGTGCCCAGACTGGCTGGCAGTGAGCTTGGCGGCGCGGGAAAGTGATGGGTCGACGCACAAAGCCACTCACGGCCCCAGAGGCCCCTGAAGACAAACCGGGAGGTCATGGGGCGGCGGGCATAAGGCCTGCCGTTTTGCAGAGTGGCCCAGGGACTGTCCCATCCCAGAAAGAGACTTTAGTGCCAGGGTCTCTGGGGGGCCCAGGGGTGCTGGTCTACACTCACACTTGCTGGCTCTGTTTTGAGAAGGGTCTGGGAGCCCCGGGAGTACAAAAAGGGAAGGGGTGGTAAAAGGAAAACATAAAAATAATAAAAATCTGGCTTAACATGCAGGTCCAATTTCTTTTTTTCTCTTGGGCAGTCCAATGGGAGAGAACAGCAATCGTGAGGCTTCCAGTTGGCTGGGGAAGACCCGACGGCGCAGGGACAGCTGCAGGGAGACACGAGGGTGGGGATCAGGGGCCCTGGCTGGAGGGCGGGGACCCACAGGCACCCAGGCTCGGTGGGGAGGGGCAGCAGCCCTGTGGAGCAGCACCGAGGCTCACTAGCACGGGGCATCGAGACAGCCGCACACCCAGGCCACCCCAGCGAGTCGCTGACGTATGCTGGTCAGCGAGGGCGGCGTGCACAGGCCGAGAGGCTGCACCGCTGGGCTGAGGCGGGTACCGGCTGCACCCTCGAGGTTTTGCATGACACGCTGACCTTCACACGGTGGACGGCAAGGACGCGTTCCTTGGCTACGGGGCAACTCACATGCGCAGTCATTCCTGCTGGTCCTCATTGCTGGCACTGGGGGTCCGACTCCGCATCTGACTCCGGAGCTGTTCTATCAACTCTGGGTTCTGCTGCTGCATCTGCTGGGCAAACTGCTGGCCCCTACAGGGAGAGTGGCCTGGGCTCAGCAGGGCGCTTGCCCTGGCCCTGCCTCCCAGGTGCTTACAAGCCCCCATCACACCCCTCAGGGCAGTGCGCCACACCCCGGGAGACCCAGGGCCTGCATTTCCGTTTTCCCATTGTGGGGGCGCTCCTGCCTGGGGGCCCCACTAAGCAGGCCTACTTACGCCTGGATGAGACTAGCCAGGTCATTCTGCGAGGGGCTGGTGCCTGGAGTCCCCAGGGGGTTGTGGCCACCTGAGATCATCCCGGACATGCTGCAACAAGAGTGTGACTCAGATCCCACTGCACACCCTGGGTGGCCCTCTGCCACGGAGCGGCTCTCTGGGCCCAAGCCCTCCCTCGGCCACTCTTCTCTGTCTGCAGGCCCTGCCCATTTCATCAGCTTTCCCAGGATCACTCTTGTTTGGTTTAAGGACAGTGCTCGACTGGGGGATTCTGTCCCCCAGGTAGCCTATGACCTGAAGTGGACTCCATGGGCATGAAATGTCCAGAAAGGCCCATCCACAGAGACAGAGAGTGGGTCGTGGTGCCAGGGGCTGGGACGCACGGGACTGCTAACAGGGACAGGCTTTCCTTTTGTTCTGGAACTAGACTGTGGTGATGGTTGTACAACTGTGGCTATACTTCATGCTACTGACTTGTAAACTCTAAAATAGCTAAAATGGTAAGTTTGTACGTTTTTACCACAATTTAAAATTTAACCACATGACCTAGAAGAGAATGGTTTTCCACTTACAGTTGTTGAACTTGGGGATTGTTCATAAGGTTTGACGCCTGAGGAGAGGAACAGACTGGTCAGAGACAGCAAGCCCCTAAACACCGCTGTGCTGCAATCACTCTGGCTTCTCCTGCCCTGGCATTCGCTCTCTTGGCCCTTCCCTACCTGGCCCTCCCTTTCCACATGCACATCTCACCATCTTAAGCCTCTCTGGACTTTTATCTTTGGAAACCCCCATGGCCCCTCATCATCACCCCCACGTGCTTAGCGGTCGCCAGGTGGACGCGTCTTGGCTCCGCAGTGAGTGACGCCGGGACACACCCGTGCAGCAGCCCCCACCAGGACCACAGCCATGAGTTGCTTGGTGACGGGCTAGCCAACGACAGAAGCGCCGAGCGGCACCTTTAGGGCTGCGTGACTCACTTCTGATCTTATCCCTGTCGCTAAGGACCCATGACTGTATTTCCTCAAGACCTATTTTAAGAGGTGGATGAGTCGGACATGAGTGGTCTTCCCAGCCGTGGCTACAAGGGCAGGCTGACTCTTTCGGAAAGGGTCAGAGGCCATTTCGGCTGGTCAGCTCTGCCCGACTCTGGTGAAAGTACCCCGTGTGGACACGGGCATGGCCCTGAATCATAAAAACCGCAGGGGGGCCGTCACCTGTTAACACAAACATGAGAAAACAGACTATATCAAGGCTGAGTCTCCCCCTGGGTGCATTTAGGCGAGCGAGGCCCTCTGCGGTAGCGGCGGCCTCCCATTTTGAAGGCGCAACACCCCATCGCTCAGAGAACACCTGCCTGCCTGCCGGTGGGGCTTGGAACCACCTTCCTCTGGCCAACAGCGCGAGCCTGGCTGAGGCAGCACAGCCAAGAGCGGCGACTTCACGCAGAGGCGCTCAATGCTGTGTAGCTTCCTGTCTAAGTTCAGGAAGCCCTGGGGGGGCTACCCTGTTCCCACGCTTCCAGGGTAACCCCAACACGGGGGTGCTATGCAACTTTCTGGGCGATCCTGCCCCAGGGTCTCTGGCGACACTGGGGAATCGGCGCTGTTGCACCTGGCACAGAATAGGTGGGGCCAGGGCCGCTGCTCAACTCCCAGCGCCAGGGTGCCTGATGCCAGCAGTGCCACAGATGGGCAGCCCTGGCCTCGGACCGCAGCAACAAGCAGAGGCAGGTTGTGGCCGGGGACGGAAGAGGCCCCTTACCATGCTCATGAAGCCTGGGTTGTTCAGCAGGCCAGCGATGTCAAAGCTGCCAACGCCACCTGTCTGTGGGGCGACAAGAGTTAGGGACCTGGTCAGGGACCTGACAGCTGGGCACCAGTTTCAAATTCTGAGGTGAGCACCTCAGATGTTCCCTCAATGAGCGCAGATAGGCCTGATGGTCAGACGGTGCTGCGGACACAGCGGCCTCCAGTGGCGACCACGTCGGGAGGTGCCACCACACCTTTCATTCTCTGCTGCTTCAACACCGGGACCTGCTGACCCAGAGGGCCGGCCTCTGCCGGGCAGCTAATTCCCACAGATGGTGAACCGTCCACAACAATCACGTCGTTCAAATGCACCAGCCAACCCGGCATCCACCCTCCAGTCCTTCTCCCTGGGGACACCACCTCATCTCCATCACCCCAGAGCTGGTGCCAGACAAGAGGGGCCACCCCTACACCTCAGAGGCCCTGGCATCATTCCACCAGCCGGTCCTAAGCCCCTACCGGAATGGGTCTGTCAGGCTCCCCTCCCTGCCTCCTGGCTCAGCTGCGCTTCCCTGAGCGGGCAGCCCGTGGCCGCTGCAGGCCTCTGTGAGGACCAGTCCTTCGAGAAAGGCACTTCTGCATCACGCATGCCACCACACCCAGGTGAAACACATGCAGTGCCCAGCACACTCTTCGCTGCAGCCCTCAGCCTCAAGCCAGGCCGCTGGGCCAGGCCGGCCTCCCAGCGGCTGCCCTCGCGCCCAGGGCACTGCAGCCGCTCACTCACTGGGCTCGGCGCCTCCCTCAGCTTCAGTTCGGCGATCTTGAGGTTGGACTTGTACGTCTCGTTGTCGGGATCCAGCTCCAAGGCCTTCTTGTAGTAGGCCACCGCCTCTGTGTGCTTGTTCAGACTGGAGAGCGCCAGGCTGGGGGAGACAGAGGGGCTGGGTGTGTGAAGTGCCAGCGCCAGAGGCTGTGCCCCTTCATGACTGCTCTGGACAGCCTCTTTCCTGGCCCGGCCTCTGGGCCCAGCGAGACCGCACGAGGGGCTGGAGCTGTGCCAGCAGGGAGGCTATGGAAGGAAACGCACGTCCACGGGACTGCTGCCCTGGGGCTGGCGGAAGGACTCTGCAGGCTGAGGGGACAGAGGCAGCCGAGGGCGGGGCGGAGGAAGCACACTGGCCCTCGTCCTCTTCCCAGCATGGCACTCCCAAACCCGGCCACTTCCTGCGTCACAGACATGGCATTTGGCTCACACCTGAGTTTACGCCAATGAGGGGACTCAGCGGGGCCCCAGGGAACCTCAGACAAACAGGGGCAGCCCCTCCAGAAGGGGGGCGGCCACAGGGAAGACAAGAGACTAGCAGGCGGGAACTCTGAGCCTCCCCAGCCAGGGCTGAGTACAGAAAACGTTGAGGCCGGAGATGTCCCCAGCAAGGGGACGCATCGCATCCTCGTGCCAGGAGGCCACAGCCCCGGAACCTCAAGGACACAGGCCACTGCCCTCGGCACAGTGTGGGGCCTTGCCCTGCTCCTCTGGCCGCTCATCTGGGCCCTTTAGAACGAACTGGCGGAGGGAAATAAAGGCCTTCCCAGAGTTGGGTGAGTCGTTCTAGCCAAGTATCAGCCCTGAAGGGGGGTCACGGGAACCCCCCATTACAGTCAGACGGTCAGAAGCACGGAGGCTCTCCTTCCAGGGTTGAGCCTGGGGGCAGCCCTACAGCTGAGCGTTGAACCTTGCAGGGTCTGCACTCACCCGGGCGAGGTCAGGATTGCACCGGGAGATACACCGACAGCGCTGGAGCTGGCTGTTGGTGCGAAGCAAACCCCGCCTGACAGGAAAAGGAGGGGACGTGTCCCCACACTCACCCCATCCTGCCGTAAGCCTTGCTGTAGGTCGGGTCTATGCAGATGGCGCGTTCGCAGTCCTGCACGGCCCCGGCGTAGTTCCCCAGCTTGCTGTAGGCAGCGGCTCTGGGGGGACAGCAGGGGCACCAGGGGCTGAGACTCACTAGCTACAGAGGGACGGTGGCTGGGGAGTCTCCCCATGTGTGCTGTGAGGTAGAAATGGGGTCACTGAGGGGGGCGAGACACGGTGAATGTGGTCTCAGATGTGGGCGCCCAGGCCAGGGCACCCAGGCCAGTTACCATGGGAAACTGAGGTCACAGGAAGGCCCAGGAAACCCCGGCAGATGGGACCTGGCTGGACCTTGGGGCGAAGCCTCTGCCATCTGGGCTCTTCCTCCCTGGGGTCTTGTGTTACTAGAAACAGGCCGGTGCCGCAGCGGACGCTGGCAGCCTGCGTCCCGCGTGGCTGCCTGTCTCACTGACTTCAACTTTGGGGTTTCCATTTCCAGTCTGCGCAGTACAGAACGGTGGCAAGTAGAGACCACTGTGCTTGGTGAGGAACAGATGGGCAATACCTATGCAACCTATGTAATCTTCCACCCTTAAAGAAAAGATGCACGACAAAGACAAAGCAGCAACTCTAGCCTGGCGGCGACAATGACGCCTGGAGCGGGACCCTGAACCGCTCCCACTCGGCTCCAGGTCGCCAAAGCTCCCCGGAAGCACCAAATCCTCCCACGAGGCCACACAAGACTACTGGGCTTTTCCTCTAAATGCAGCTGCGCAACCACATTTCAGCCAACGAGGAGCCGCGCAGACAAGAGGCCCCGACGGCTGGCCCACGCGGCGCGGTGTGGAGGCCGCAGGCTCGAGCTTTGCGCCCACGCGCTCCCCGCGTCTGCTCAAAGCGAGGTCACCTAACAGTGCATTCTCAGAACCTGCCCGTCAGGTGACACGTGACTACGCAGGCAACACGGAGCCCCACTGCCGTGACAATGCTGCGTGAGCCACGAGCGTCGCGACACCGTGCGGGCTGCCGAGCCCCTGCTGGGGGAGCCCTCGGACGACACCAAGGCGCCGCCCTGCTGGGGCGCACAGCAGCCCGGCTTCCCTCTCCCCGCCCCGCCCCTTCTGGTACCTGTTGCAGAAGTAGACGGCGTTGGCTGGGTTGAGCTCAATGGCTTTGCCATAGAAGTGGACAGCAGCTTCGAAGTTTTCTACTTTCATCTGCTCATTTCCTGCAGAGAATGGAAAAGGCTGTTCTCCGGGGACCAAGGGCCTGAGACTCATGCTCAGCTTTCCCGGGCTCCTCGGGAGGGAAAGCAGCTTCCGGGGGTTACGATCCGATACTGAAGTGAGGCGAGGGGCGGGGGTGTGGGGGTGCGGTCTGTGTGGACTGCCTGCCGGGCCAGCCTGGGCCAGCACCTGCTCTGGCAGTGCTGCTGGGGACAGAAGTCTCAAACACTGTCACCTGCGCCTCTTCCTTCGCATATAGCCTGAGGATACTTGTGCTAAGTCTTCTAATGTAGGAAATGCAGTTTCTCTCTAAGGCTCACAACTGGCGGGAGGGTGTGGACCGGCTATAGCCTCGGGATCGAATGAGGGCTCTGAGATCAGAACCGGGGCTTACCACCTCCACCCAAGACTTAATCAGTGGGTGGCGGTGCTTACGTATCTGAGTGTGTTGCAAATAACATGAACAAATTATAATCCACATACCATAAAAGGCGCACTTTCAAAGTCTTCATAACTCGATGGTGTTTAGTGTATTAGAAGTGGATTCACCACAACCTAATTCCAGAACGTTCCCTAAGCGCCCAAAAGAAGTCCCCTCTCCATTACCACCACCCTTTCCCCAGCTACTGGTACCATGAACCCCCACTTTCTTTCTGAAGATTGCCTATTCTGGACATTTCACATCAGTACTTACTGGACTTCATGTGTTCAAGATCTACGAAAATGGTAAAGTGTCGAAATTTCCCAACTCATGGCCAAGTGATGGTCCATGAATGGGCGGACAAGAGGTGTGTGTGTTGGTCCACCCACTGACGGACACTTGGGTGGTGTCCTCTGAGGCATGAGTGGGCTCCGTGAGCATGTGCTGACTGAGATCGGAGGGCACGGGCCTTCAGTTCCTGACACACAGCGTGCAGTCACCCCACATTTAGCCGCTGGAGAGCACTTACGCTGGGTCTTAAAGGCCCCAGTCCCAGCTCCAAGGCAAAGCTGCTGTCTGCTGTATGGGGTACCCTTCCCCTGGGCCCCAGAACCCACCCTCCCTGAAGCCACTGGAGTCCAGGGGTCAGTCTTCTCCTACCTTCGGTCTTGAGGCGTTCTGCCTCGGCGGAGTCCTCCTCTGACGGCGGGGTTTGCTCGGGGCTCCTCAGGTCCTGTGGCATCTCCTGACCCCAAAGCAGACATGAGCACTTCAAGGAGCAGCCCCGCCGTCCCCCTCTTCCAGTCCTGTCACCTTTAGCCTCCCTCGCCCTCAGGGACGCTTAAGCGAGGGCAGTTAAGCTCTGAGGGAAGGCGACATGGCCTGGAGATGAGCCCCGAGTCTGGTGGCCCCGCACCTAGGAGTGAAGAGGCGCTGCATAAGGGTTCTGGAGTGCTGGCCATCCCACTGCCCATCATACCCGCTGGTGGCTGAGGAGATTGAGAGGCTCACCTTGCCCGTGGCAGCTGCTTCAAATATTTCTGGAAGAGTCTGGGGAAGTGCGAGGTCACGGTCTTCCACTGTCACCCCAAAAGCAGTCTCCAGGCACTGGATGGCAACTGCAAGGCAGAACAAGGGTATTTTCTTTTGAAAATACACAACCCCAAGTTCACAGTTTGGGGGTCGGGGCAAAGTTTTGGCTACTCCTCTTTGGATGTGGTTGCAAACACCCTGGAAGGCATGAAGCACCTCTCATGGCCCCAGGCCCCTGGCTTTGCGTCCTCCTATCCTGTCAGCTCAGTCTCAGAAAGCTCAGGGTGCCCGGGGGACGTGCCCCTCTAATCCCTGGAGCAGGGATGGAAGAGGGAGGCCCCTATGCCCACCCCCCACCCACTGGTGGGGTTTCTGCGGAAGACAATGCTGGCGCCCTCCAGGGCTAAGACTTTACTCTGGTCTGGAGTACCATGGGTGGGGGGAACAGGGGTGGGTGCTGGTGGTTAGGTGCCCAGGGCTGTTCTGTCAGGCCTCGGAGAATACAGCCAGCGTCTGGAGCCTGGGGTCTGGCTCTAAGGTAATATGAAAGGGTTCATTCCAGGGCTGCAGAAACTATCCAGAACTTTGGGGTCACCTGGCTGGATTACCAGCTGACTGCAGCCCACAGACACCATGGGGGGTTCCTGTGCCCAGTGTCTGCTTCTTAGGAAAAGCCCCAACCTGAATCTGTGCTCTTGTCCACCAAGACCGCCTGGGGGTGGCGCTGCGCACAGGCAGCTGGGCAGGGCAGGCACCCCCCCCCCCCTTGGCAGAGACAGCTTGGAGGTAAGATTCCCCAGGTGAGGGCATGGAGGACCTGGGCTCCAGGGTCAGACCCCTCGATAACCCAGGTCCAGGTCTGATGCCTGAATAGGCGGTAGGTGCTAAATCTCAACCTTCCAGTGCGAGCAGGTGTGGTGGGGGCTAGCAATCCAGTGCTGGGTCTGCCCCAGGCTTGGCACCCCCAGCCCCACAAGGCGGCGGGTGCACAGCCACCCCTCCTCACTGATGGGAGCCTTCTCCCTCAGCAGGGAGCCTAGGCCAGCTGACCCTGGTCCTGACCCTTGTTTGACAGTTAAGGAAGCTGAGTTCCAGCGGCCGCAGGCCCCAGCTCCCACCCCAGCACTAATCTGTGCCCCAGCACAGGGCCGCCCTCAGAAAGGCACAGCCAGCTGCCGTGAGCAGGGCAGGGGCCTCAACTACCCGGAGAGGGCAAGAGCCTCCAGTACCTTCCAGACTCTCCTGGGCGTCGGAAGAGAGCCCCCCGTGCCGCAGCTGGTCGTGCAGGAACCGGATGATGGCATAGGCCAGGCGCTTTTTATTATCCATGTTGAGAAGGGAAGACGCCTTGCCCTGGGGGTTTTCCGGATCTGGAAAGCAGAGAGACAGTGTGAACAAGACTGACAGGGACTACCCCGCACACCCCGGCCCCAAGCCAGCCTTGCACGCCCGCCCGGGCCCTGCCTGCCGCGCTGTGGCAGCCACCCGAAGTGGTCCATTTGTCTGCAGGGTGAGGCAGCGGTGCTAATCACCCCCACTTCACAAGTGAGACAGGGGCGTTGGTCCAGGGCTCCCGCTTGCCAGCAAGGAGAGTTCCCTGGGGGCTGCAGCTCATCAACACAAGAGCGGAGGTGGCACCAGGGAGCCCTGAGGACAAGAAGAGCTGCCCTGCACCGGCTAGAGCCCTTCCTGTCTGTGGATCCTACTGCAGCAAAGCGCGAGGCCAAGCACAGCCCACCCGCTACTGCTTTGCTCAGGATGAGAAAATGATGGGTAGCTCCATGCTCCGAGTCTGGGCAACACAGGGGTCCAGTGAGTGGCAGTGAGCAGCAGAGCTGTCTGGAAGCCTGAGGGTACCAACTCCTGCAGGACAGCCACGGTCTTCACGGTTACTCTGCAGTGAGCAGAACCCCAAGGCAGGGCTTGGCCTGCCCCCCGGGGACACCATACAATGTCGGGGGACATCTATGGTTATCACAACTGGGGGAGGGGCCAGGAGTGCTGTCCAGGACACTCCCACCCCCCACGACATCCAGCCGTGAATGCAGCAGAGCTGAGGAGGGAGGCCCTGGAGTAGAACAACCGGGGAGCCGAGAGCCTCGCACACTGGGACTGACAACCTCATTTCCACCCCTTGGCAGGATGTTGCTCCCAGAGAGGGAACAGGCTCAGGATCGGGCTCGACAAGTTTGCCCATAAAACGCCCCAAGGGGCGTGACCAGCGTGTGCTCCAGGGGTGGCTACCTGGGGGGCGAGCGCACAGGGGCACACCGGCTCGCGAGGCCAGCGGTCCGGCACGGCCAAATCACCCGGCAGAGCAGCAGAGACTCGCGGCACTAGTGCCCAGAAAACTCCCGCCTGGAGGCGTCTCAAGGGGAGGAGAGAGCCACACCCATGCGGCCACACGGTGCGCGAGCCCACAGGAGGTACAGCACGGTGTCCGTGGCGGGGGCGGCGGCGGCCTGGAGGGTGGTGGGCGGGGGTGCAGGGGGTGTGTGATGCTGACGGAAGGGGGTCTCCTTTCAGAATGATGCGACGTTCTGAAATTAGATAGTTGCGCAGCTGTGTGAATTTCTGTGACTTATGTCTCAACTCCAAAACAGGGGATGGTTTCACTTATATGTGGAATATAGAGAAACTGAACAAAATGTCAAGGAAAAGACAAACCACTGACCACGTGTCGGAGGCATCCAGCAAGGGAGAGAAGGGTGAGGGGTCAAAACGGGAGGAGGAGCGAGGGACTGTGGAGCTGGGTCAGTCACAGGAGCTGTGCTGGCGGGAGAGCTACCCTGAGGGGACAGAGAAATTCTGTACAAAATGAACAGTGATGGGAGAAAACAAATTCAGAGGAAAAAGAAAAAGCCCTGCAGTTGAGGGTGTAAAAAATAAATGAACAGAAAACAAGGGATACCTTAAAATAGCTGTGCAGCTGGGCAGCGCGTTAGAGCTCTCCGAGGCGATCCCCAATTGCTAGACACCTCAAGCACTGCCGGACACTTCCCGAGGAAGTGCCCTTGGCTTGAGTGTCTCCCCGGAATGGGTGGTCTGGGATCAGGACAGGCTGGCCTGGTAGACCAGCGCCAGAACCAAGGGTCTTGGGGGCGACACAAGGGGCCTAGGGAGATCAGCTCCACGACCTGCTTATCCTGGGCAAAGTGAAGCCCCGAAGGGAAGGCACTCTCCCCATTAAGCGGCTCAGAGAGCAAAGCAGTCAGTCTGCTGCTCCGAACCCCAGGCACACAGTGGCCAAAATGTAATAATGATGTTTTTGTTCTACCAATATGTGTTTGGACAGACAGCAGCCCAAGGGTGGAAGTAAGCGGCCGTCATACATAAATGCTGCCATGTGGACCACTTCACACGGAGTTGTCATCGGCCTTAAGAAGGCTGCTCCGGCCCACTCAACACCGTGGACGGACCTCGGACTATGACGCCCAGTGAAAGAAGCCAGAGACAGAAAGACTCATACTATGTAATTTCACTCACGAGCGCCCCAAAGGAGCCAGATTTAGAGACAGAAAGCAGAAGGTGGGTGGTAGGGGCTGGGGAGCTATGTTTAATGGGGACAGCGTTCCAGTTCAGGAAGATGAGAATGTTCTGGAGAGGGAGGGCAGGATGGCTGCACCACGTGATCGTGTGCATTGCCACTGGGCTAAGCACTTAAAGTGGCTAACGTGGCACATTTAAGTATGTCTTACTGTAATAAAAAAAAAAATGTTGGGCCCTCCCTGGTGGCACAACCAGTTAAAGCACAGCCCTATGATGCTACCAGCAGCCACTGCAGCACGAATTCAGTCCCCCGCCAGGGAGGGACCCACAGGGCGCAGCAGACCTCTCCTGTCTCCTGCTGCTCTCCTTAGCTGTATATTTCAGTTGGTCCACCTGTTCTGCTCCCCCTGTCTCTGGTGGATCCTCTCACCCCTGCGACTCTAGCCTGTACCCCAGTTCTGTTATGTATAAACAAATACATCTTAAAAAAAAAAAAGTCTCCATCATCTACAGTCCCATCCCTTGGGAATGCAGAACCTTCTACCTTCAAATCAGGGCCAAGGGCTACATTTGCACTGCCATCTGTTTCTCTGAATGGCTTTTGCCTTCTTAACTAAGAGAATGCGTAACACCCCTGAGGTGGCCCTAGAACCCCAGAGTCCACAGCATTTACCACGTGGCTTTTGCTGTCCCCTCGTCCCAATCTTCTAAATCACAGTGATGTGAACTGGGGTCAGATACAAGGTTACCTGTGAGCAGCTGAAACAGCACTTGGGTGTCCAGCACCACTTCTAGGCCATGGTCCTTTGTGGGGGTCAGTGTAGGCCAGGTGATGTTCATGTGTTTGTGTGTGTTGGGTGGTATTTTGCTTTCCCTCCCAGGGCATACAGGTCCTGGTCGTGGCAGATGTGTGTCTAGGGGTAAACAGGGAAATCTGATCTTTACTATTTCCTCCCCTGCTGGGTGACCTGCAAGGGCTAGACAGAATGACAGCCAAAGGGTCACAGAAGGTTTAAAACCAGAAGATGAAGTCACACTCATTTCTGGGGACTTTTTCAGTTCTTCCAACTCTCATGCCCTGAACCCAAGGTCCTTTGCACACGCTCCTCCTGCTATCGAAACCCTGACTCCCGCTGACCTTTTTCAGGACTCCCACCTGCCCCTTCTGCTGCCCACTCTCACTGCCTGCTTCCTGGGCTTATCCCAGCAGACGGCTGTCGTCTCCTCCCGACTCACCAGCCCAGGGGATACAGCAGGCATAGGAGATCAGGGCCTCTCCTGTCCCGCTAACACCCCTACTACTGACTGGCACACATCATCCCTTCAGACAATGGCACGGGGCAATGCAAACAGGGCACTGATCTGTGACAGCAAAAGATCTTGCTCTAGAGTAACAGACCGAACCTCAAGTTCCAGGGGAAACACAAGAGGACTAGGGGACCCCTACCCTCACCCGACCTTGTTCCCCTGGGGGAGGGGCAAATTACTCCCTGCAGCCTGGTTTTGCAAGCAGTTTTATGGGCACACCCACCGCATCTCTGGCTGCTTCCCTGCCGCAAGGGTAGAGTCGAGCTGTTGTGACAAAGACCAAGACGGTGAAAGCCTGAGATACTCAGTCCTCACTTACTATCGTGGCTGGATTCTTGGAAGTGGCAGCTGTAAGTGGAAATTTAACAAAGCCAACCCTCCCATGGGTTCACTGACATAAAGAAGTGTTAAGTTCCCACTACAGTTTTCTGGTCACAAAAACTTCATCAAAATTGTAAGTAAAAACCCCAAACACTTCTAATATTCAACAACCACTTGGATCCACTCATACATTCACTTCCCCACTGGCTGGCTCCAGTTGAAGGTCAAGGGCTGTGGGAAGTGGCGCCTCTACCAGCAGCTCAGGGTCAAGGTCCTCACCCCACAGGGTGCACACACTCCACAGCCACGCAATGCAAAGAGTGGACAACATCCAGTGCACGCCTTTGGGGTGTGCCAGCAACTGGTTATAAATATATAAATCGGGGCAGCAGATACATCCCAGCTGGCTGAGGTTGTAATGTATGGCCTGATGTTGGGGTTCTCTACCCTGGCGCTATGGACATCCAGGGCTGGGTCATCTTGCGTAGAGGGGGCCCTGTCTAGTGCATTGTAGGGTGTTCAGCAGCATTCCTGGTCTCTCTCCAATGTCTCCTGGAGGTGTGACCCCCTAGATTAGAAATTAGAGGGTTCCAGTGGTCCCAGGAGACTCTCTGTTCCATCATCATCTAACCTCCTGGTCGTGGGATACCCAATTTAAATACACACGGGGGGGATATTTAGAAGAAGAGGTGCCTCAAAGACACTGGGGAGTTATCCTGGTTTCTACTGACCCACTGGCATTTTATTTTACAGTCTAATGTCAGCAGGGCTCAGAGGCAAATTCTTTCTAATTAATTCATCTTCTCCCTTGGTACTGTTGACATTAGGACCAGGTCATTCTCTGTGGGGAGCTGTCCTGGGTACTGCAGGGGACTGCGCTGTATCCCCAGCCCCACTCACCAGACAGCAGAAGCACCCCTCTGTGTGACAGCCAAAATGTTCCTAGCTATCATCAAACTACCCCCAGATGAAAATCACTGCTAGACACCGGGGGTGGGGGGGTGAGGGGGTGGGAATAAGGGGTCTATATACAAGTCCAATTCTTCTGGGCGAATGACTTTGCTGCAACTTTTCTGAAAATCTACTTGCAGACGACTTAGTTTCAGATCTGGGGAAAGAGGACTGTGGGTCTGAGCTAAGGTCTGCTGGTAAGTGGAAAAGCTGTGCATGATGGGACATAGGTGGCCTGTAAAAACCGTGGCTTCGAGAACAGTCTTGTGACTCTTCTTTCAACACATGGCCTTTGAGATGACCCTACTTTCTGCTCTCCAGAAAGCTAGGCCCAGTTAACCCGGAGACAGAGCTTCTCCCAGGTCACTGCTAGGCACCAGTTTCTCTGGAACAATCACAACTTGTTGGGCTTTAGCTGCTCGACAAAGTACTCAAAGAAGGCCCACTCTCCCTGAACAGAGAGCGCGTTGATTGCCTGGGAAACACCCAAAGCAGCATTCTAACTGCACAGGGTGCGGGCGTGAGCTGAGGGTGGCGGGGATCCCCTGCAGCTCCCCTTTGATGGTCTTCAGAATCCCTTCCAGCTCTGTCACCTTTGCATATTAACATTAAAAAGAAAAACTATTTCCTTATTTTTCCACCCAGAATTGATTACCCAAAGGGAAGAAATGGCTAGAATGAGGGACCTGCTCCCCACGCCCCAGGAAGTAAGCCTCCCATTCTGCCCGGCCCTGTGGGTGCGCAGCCTGCCACTCTCCTGAACCTTGTCTTTTCTAACACCAGTGTGCCAGCTGGTGCTCTGCCCTGCCCCCAATGCCAGGACAGTTCAGGTACCCAAGAAAGGAATGTCCCCAGAGCTACAAATCATCAAGTTACAGCTGGGTCCCCAGCACACAACCCACAGAGCAACCCCGCTGTCTTCCAGACATGGTCAGGAGTGTGCGTGCTGGACCAATGCACTCACCACTCCAACCTGACCCCACGGGGACACTCTTGTCTCCCTTCAACACCAGTGGCAAGGTAAAGTCTTTAGACAGCGGGACACCTTGTGTCTCGGCTGAACCTCTGGTCCAGCATCTCCTATAAGACTTAACAACTTTCAACTTTTTCCTGGCCTGTCCCCCATGCTGGGCTGCAGTCTGCCCAGCAGCATTTGAGCTATACAGACTCAGGAAATCCTTACCACCTGACAAGTGGAGAGTCATGTCACCATGTTCCTGGGGAAGGTATTATCTCTTTGGGTCTTAGCTTCCTCATCATCAAGAGATGAAAAACCTGGTGTTTTGCCTACCCACTATCAATTCCATGTGTCCCTTCAACCCTCACATGATCCATGAACCATGACATGGGGGACCCATGACTGGGTTTTGGCAAATAAAAAAATGTAGGACCGCACAAGACTATGGCTCTCAAGGCTCTCCCAACCCAATGCAGAGTTTAAGCTCACAAAGAGGCCCTTCCAGGAAGACTGGATTCTTTGTGGGGGTAGGGAAGAGGGATGCGGGGTTTCAGGCCACAAGGTAAGCGCTATTTGTACAGTGGCTTATTTCAGGGGTTAGCAAACATTTTTGAAAGGGGACGGAATAAGTAGCTTCAGCTTTGAGACCATAGATCTTTGCACAACTCAACTGCTGTCACAGGGCAAAAATAGTCACAGGTTATGTGTCTGCGTTCAGGCGTAGCAGTGTTTCCACAAAAAAAGCCGTGGCTCAAGTGGCCCCCTAGTCTCCTGAGACCTTGAGCTGTTTCTTCTAATCCCATTTTGACAGAAGAAAAAACTGAGGTGTAGAAAGATGAGTGGTTACCAGGTTAAGAATACGCAAATCAACCACTCTGAACACAGGCACCCTGACTCCATAGTCTATAAACAATAAAGTACCCTCTCTCTCCACACAAAAAGGGGTGCGCATACAAAACCTCGCCCATTGGCCTCGTTTTCACATACTGCCCCTGCCCAGCTTGTGCAGGTGAAGAATCATCGCTCTATAGTAGGGTTTAAATCTGGGATGTGACATCCAGGGCTGGAAGGCTTCCTGGGGGATATGAGGTCTCCTGAAACCTGTGGGGTGCTGAGCAGCGTCCCAGCCCTGTTCACTTGATACTACGAGCACTCTCAATGGTAACAACCAGATGTCCCTAGACACTGCCTAGAGTCTGAGGAGGGGGACAAAACCATTCACTGGTCAAGGGAAACCAAAAACAGAATCAAACAGACAACAACACGAGTAAACGTCCAGCTTAAGGGATACAGCGTGCGTGCACTTTCTTGCGCCTAATAACAGAGCAAGCAAGCCATTAGAAAACTTACTTTCTAAGTAAGTTAGTAAGCAGCAAGAGCCAAATCAAAGAATGTTCTCTGTATATTGAACTCCACAATGACTAACAGACATTTACTTCTTTCCTTATTTTAAAGGGAAAAGGATGCTCAAAGAGGGGAGAGCGACTTTCCCAACCTCACACAGGAGAGGTGGTGGTGCTAGCCTTCGACCCCGAATTTCTCCACTTCCAGCACAATATGCAGAAGACCCCAAGTGAGAAATGAGAATAACAACTGCTGATCTCTGTGAATTCTCACTTTCGGGTGTGGGCGTCTGTGGCTTTAATCCACCGACGGAGCCCCTTTTCCCCGAGACAGGGACACAATGACGGGGAAAGTGAAGGTCCGTGACGCGAAAGGCGACCGAGGTCACCGAGGTGGATACTGGCGGCGCTGGGCCGGCAGCCGTGAGAACCCGAGCCCCACTAACGGGACTCTCGTCAAAGAGAGTGTTTCGGGACATCGGCGGTCACCCAGCGAGCACTCACTCCACACCGGACTCTTCAACCTCCCGGTTTCCCACCAAGGAACGGAGAATCAGCATCTTCCCAGGCTTGGGATCCGGGAGAGGGCAACGGGCCCCGGAGGATCTATCCGACGCCACTTGCCTCAGTTTCCCCTTCGCGCCGCCCACTCACCGGACCCTGCGCGTCGTCGTGACCCCGGCCCACACCAATTTTGTCTTACGGACCGGAAGCCCCGGATGCTCTGCGCGTGGGCTCCCCTCCCGCCCCTCTCAGCGCCAAGCCCACCACTCACCTCTCTGGCGACCGAACCCCGACCCACCGACGGCTGCGCCTGCGCACAGCGGCGCCGCACGGCCCCGCCCCCCGGCCTCGACGCCTGCGCGAAGGGACCGGGTTCCCGTTGACTTTCATTCTGCGCAGGCGTATTAATTACCGAGGAGGGCGTGGGGGGAAGTGATGCAATTTAGAGGCTGGGACGAACTGGTCGTTAGGGCAACTGACCTCTGCGACCGAATAGGGGCCGGAAATTAGGTCTTAGTGGATCTCTAGAGCGGGAACGGAGCGGTGCATAATGGGACACTGGAGGACTCCTGCTGATCGGTGGAGCTGGCCACGTGGTTAAAGGGCGTTTGGGTATTTGGCTCTCAGAACCTCCCTGGAGCTCGTATGAATGGAAGTGATTGTTATCTACTCTTCATCTTTATTCACGTATTCACCCACTAATGCATTCAGCCCTCAAAATATGAAGGAGTATAGGGATAATTGCTTACAGCACATACCTAATATTCTTGTAACAAGTGATTATTACAAACCAGCTATAAAGACCAGCAAGTTATTCGCTTTCATAACCTTGTTCAGGGACAGACTGAGTATGTTGCTAACCCATCTGTTTATTAGGCCCACCCATGGGTACATATAGCGTCTGTTCTGCAGGGAAAAACAGGAAATGTGCCCCATGCAGGTAGTGGGGTTCATGTTTGTACTGGGCCTGGGGCTTCTTGTAGCTTCTACTTGAAACAAAGTAGTGGGCTGCAGCTATTTGCAGGACAGAGTGCACTGTGCTCTGCTGACTTGTTTGTTGGCCTTACTGGGGAGTGTACTCACCCATGCACAACATTAGCCAGGGTGGACAGGTGCACTTGAGGTCTTGTCGAGTTAGCCACAGGGATATAAACTAGCAAATTAGCACATAAATTATTAAATTTAATTTAGTGGCAAGTGCTATGAAGAAAAAATGGTGTATTGTGATTGGGTAGGTAAATTGCCTAGGCCAGACAGGAAAAGCACCTCTTATAAATGGATTTGGACGTTGGGAAAAAAACACTCCAGGAACAGGTAACAGTGAAAACGAAGACTAACATTTAAGCTTGATGTGCTTAAAAGAGGGGCAAGTGATGACAAGTTTCCTAGGATGACTCCGAACTGACCATAATTTGTGTGAAATTTGTCATGTATTCTCCCAGTTAATTTTTCTTACATTTAAACTGCACTTTTAACGCACTGCATTTTTTAATCTTTTGCAGAAATAAAGAAGGCGATGTCTTTTGCCAGCTCAAGTCTAGTAAAATTTTCTTTCTGGATGCCTCGGAGATTTACTTGAGTTTTTTTTTTTTTTTAAGTTCCATGTTTTATTTCAGTCCTTAAAACAATTTGAACTCCTGAGCTATATAACTGCCTTTTTTTTTTTTTTCCCATTTTGTACATTTTTTTTCCATCTCAATTGTAATCCCCGCGGGTTTCCCATCACCAAGTCACCCGTGTGCCATCACCATAATCCCGTACACTTCCCTCCCCACCCCCCACCCACCACCCCGTTTTTGATCCCATTGCCCACTCCACCCCCACAAAATGTCTCTGGTATATGGTTGTTCATTATTCTTGTTATTTTCTCGCCTGGTACTTGACTGTTTTAACCTACAAAATTGAATATAGGTCAGGTATTGTTCCAAAAACAGGTTTGAAGTAGTTATGTGATTCACTTACTGAAACTTTCTGAATTACACATTTAATTGCTTGCTTTTTAAATAAAAATGACAACAGTTCAGCATTTCATTCATCGCATTATAAAAGAGTAACTTTGCAAGCAGTGTTAACCCTTTAAAAATGTTGCTTTGTTTTTTCTTTAATTTGACTAATTGCATTCAGCTCACTGTGGAACACCTTTACTATTTTTTAAAAGATGACTCTTGCTTTTTTAAAAAAGATTTTATTTACTTACGCACAGAGAACTGGCCAGAGGTGCAGGGGATTCACCAGAGACAGGGTGGAGAGCAGAACAGGCAGGTCACCTCAGGGCCGATGGATTGAACTCGCATTGAAGCCGCCAGCTTCACAGTGCTGCGCTCCAAGCAGATGCGCCACCAGAAAGGGCCTTTTTTTTTACTTTTAAAAAGATTAATTTATTCATGCATATAGAAGTGGGGTATAGGCCAGAAGTGCAGGGGTGAGAGGACTCACCAGAGACACAGTGGGGAGAACAGGCAGATCAACGAAGTACACTGCTGAAGGGCGGGAAAGACAGGAGATAATCAACAAAAAGTGCCTGAGATATAAGTAAGTGACCACTAGTATGAAGCCTTTAGGTGAGGAAGAAAACTTGCAAAACTTGGCAAATACACAACAGGGAGAAAAGAAGAAACTGATATGGGAACCCGAACTCTGGCAGAATAGCCTCGAGGTGAATCGCTAATACAGAGGCTCACAGGCGCCCGCTAGATGTATGTGTGTTTCCATGGAAACACCCTCAAGGCTCCGCCTTCTCACCCCTAAAGGCCAATGAAGAGCGAGAGGGTTTCTGCGTATGCGCATGGTTTGCATGCTCACTGGCGTGTGACTTGAGGGTGTGGGCGGGGCTCAGTCACGCATGCGCTCTGCTCTCCGGCACACGCGCCCTCCCATCATGCTTTAAGTGCGCTCGCGGGCGGGTTCTCAGTCGCTTGAGCGGAGGCCAGTGGGTGGACAGATCTGCAGCCTGCGGCGACTGAAGCAGTCCGAAGAGGACCAGGTAGAGAAAGGGGTCGTCAGTGCACCATCGCCCGCCATGAAGCCCCCCGCAGGTACCGGCCGCTCCGTGATGCGGTCCCCGTTCGCGACCCCGGCTGCCTTTTGCGCCTTCGTGGCTCCCAGGGTCGCCACTTGGGCCTAAGAGCGGACACTAGAATCTCTGGGATCCGGGTTGGGGGTGGGGCTGCTCGGGCGACCCGGGACCTCGCTCCTTCTGTAGCCGGATGGATGAACCAGCTTTCCTAGCGCATCGCTCATTCAGCAAACTCCAAGTCGCTTCTGCTAAAGATGGGCTGGACCCTAGGGCGGACTTCGGGGGGGACACCGTGATGTCTAGATGAAATTCAAGGATTCGGCATAGAAGCGACCTAGGGCTTCAGACAGTGGTCGTTGGCAGGGCTGGTGGTGCTCATTAGAGCGGGTCGTCCACCTTCTCTGAGGAGGTGGCGTTTGCACCGGGATGGAGAGAAGTAACTGTCCTGTTACTGGGACAGGAGCGTCCCAGGGGGCAGGAGCTGTGAGGGAAAAGCAGGGAGACAGGAACTCCGGGAATGGGCTGGGAGAGTGACAGGTCCTTTTGGCCGGAACACAGCTGGGAGTCCCTTGGACGTTATGTTCATTTGCTTATTTTGAAGGGCGGCCATTATTCCCTGTTAACTGTGTTATAGAAAGTAGTCCGGGTAGTTGGGTCACTGGAGCTTCCAGGGATTTTCTCTTGCTCTGGCACCCTACACCAGTTCTTTCTTCAGCCCATTGCCAGAGTGATGATGATCATTGTGTTCATTATAACAGGCATAGTTGGGGTGACTTAGGTCTCAAACAGTAGGGAATGCTGTCTACCTTGTTTGCTGTGGGGTCCTTAAGCCCCAGGACCCTCCTGTGGAATCAATAAAAAATTACATAACGAATGTGTCTGCTCAGACTTTTTGTCAAATTCTAGCTCTGCAGGAGGCTACTGTGGGAATTCCCGCTCACACTGCTCTGTCTTTCCTGAGCTTCTGAAGTCCTTTGTTACCACAAGGCTAACTCAGACCCACAGCCCCTTTTTCTAGAGGTCTGAAAACCAAAGTTCCCAGCCAGTCGAAAGATTTTTCCCTTAGTTCATAGTGAAGTGTTTCGGCTAGGAAATCTGACCGCTCCTGACTCCAAAGCCTTTCTTTTCCTCATTCTGTTTATGTGGTGGGCCTTGGCTGGATGATCATGCCCCAGGGAGACTCTGGCTGATGTTGGGCAAGGGACATTTGTGTTTGTCAAGACTGGAAATACTCCTCGGTATCAAGGGGGTGGGAGGTCAGGAATGCTGCTCTACACCCTTCAGCCCCAGGTTGGTTCCCACAGAGGATGATTCACCCTCATGTCCAGTGACATTTGATACATATCTGCATTTCACTGAGAGTGATTTGTTTGATTATAGGGTGCTACCCTTAGCTTTCTTGTGTATCATATAATGTGTAACATTTATGGGGGATTCAGGAGACTTAAGACTTAGGATGGTTGAAACACCTGTGGCCTGAAGAGTTTTTGGATAAGAAGTCGTGGACCACAAAAAAAAAACCAAAAAACAGTTGTCAATTGAAAACCTTCTTGTGGTTTTCGGGGTGCGCCATGTGTCGCCCTCCTTCCCTCACTGAACTCTCCCTGTGCACCCTGTGTCCTAGTCCCCATTTCACACGCAGGAAGCCTGGGACTTGGCGCTTTAGTCCTGCTGGTGATCCCCAGCCGGCAGGTGCCAGAGGTGGGCTTCAGGCCAGGGAATCCAAGCTGACCTGAGCGCCTACACCTGCGCTGCTGCTTGCTCACCCCCACCCTTGAAAAAGCACACCAGGCTCCAGTCCGCCTCTCCCTGTTTCAGGGTTCTGCCTTGCCTTCAGAATTAATCTGTACATTAGAGTGAGGCAGTGTGTACAGAATGAACCAGTGTGTACATTAGGGGTTGCAAAATTTGACCTTTTTACGTCCCACAAACTACAAGATTTTTTTCCTGGGGCTGGACTGTATGTGTCCTGCCAAAAACGTGGCCGACTGCAGATGAGTTTGCTGACCTTTGCTCCATGTTCAGACCGCTGGGGCGATCTTGGAGTTGTACAGCTTAATTTTGCTGTCCTGTGTGCAAACACACCGCTGTCTCCAGGAGCGCTCCCTTTGGGCTTCCCTGCCACACAGCCTTTTCCTCTGCACGGCGCTTTCTTAGAGAGCCCTTGGGTGAGGACAGGGCCTGGCATTCCCAGAGACTCTCTGTGCTAAGGAACAGAGCCTGCGCCCCGGCAGGGTGAGGACTGGGGAATAGCGCGTAGAGGGTCTTCAGCCTCATAGTCGCCCTGTGACATGGCGGGAGTTGAGTAGTCAGAGTCCCTCTGTGGGCACCTGGGGGTTTGGAGGGTGCTGCTGGCTCAGACTTTGGTTTGGTACCTTTAGAGGCTTTTTTTTTTTTAATTCCTTATTGAGGGGACATTGATTTACAACACTGGTCATGTTTTAGGTTCACAAGTCCACAAATGTATGTTGTCAGGCCGACCCCCACCCTCTCAGCACCAGTGTTCTCTACCATAATCTGGTAGATTTTGAGGATTTTTTTTTTAAAGATTTTATTTATTTATTTGTGCATACAGAACTGGGGTACAGGCCAGAGGCTCAGGGGCTTCACCAGAGACAGAATGGGGAACAGAATAGGAAGATTGACGAAGTACACTGCTGAGGGGAGCAGCGGGTGGGTCAGGAGAGGTCTGCCGCACCATGTGGTCACCTCCGGGGCAGGCGGGGATCGAACTCATGCAGAGCGGCTTTAGATTCTCAGTGCTGGTGCTTTAACCCGCTGCGCCACCAGGGAGGGCCGATTTTGAGGATTTTTAAAATAATTCACATCTGAGTAAAATCATCCACTATTTGCCTTTCTCTTCCTGGCTACCTTATTTTACCTAGCATGGTCCTCTCCAGTTCTGTCCTTGTTGTGGCAAATGGCAAGATTAATCTTTTTTTTGAAGCTTTGTTTATGCGTATAAGAACTGGGGCACAGGCAAGAGGTGTGGTAGGGAGGGGTGAGAGAACTCACCAGGGACAGAGTGGGGAGCAGAACAGGTCGATCCACTGAAACACACTGCTGAGGGGAGTGGCAGGTGGGTCCCGAGAGGTCTGCTGTGCCATGTGGGTCAGCTCCCTGGTAGGGGTCAGCTCCCTGGTAGGGGTCAGCCCCCTAGTAGAGAGCTCTAACCCATGTTGCCATGGCTGTGACCAGCTTCTTAGTGCTGTGCTCCAACCTGTTGTACCACCAGGGAAGGCACAATTCATCTTTTTTTAAAAGCTGAATAGTCTATACACCACATCTTTATCTTGAACCTGTCGTTGGACACGTCCACGTTGCCTCATGTTGCAGTGAACAGAGGGCGCACACATCCCTGTGAATCTGTGTTGTTAGAGTCTGGTGTGTAGCCTAGGAGCGTGACTGTGCCACATGGCAGATCTGTCTTTAAGGTTTTGCATAGAGGCTGGACTATTTTGCCCACCCATAGGGCATGAGACATCCTTTTACTCAACCCCTCACCAACGCTTGTTGCTTCTGGTCTTTTAGATTTGGGCCGTTCTCCCAGGGGTGGGGTGTCATTTTATCGAGGTTTTGATTTGCATTTCCCTGTGTGTTTTCTTTCAAGGCTGTCCATTCCTCTGTAGGGCAGGGTTTTGCTTGTTGCTACAGTACTGGAAACATTTTCTGGGGAGGCTGATCTGCACACTGTGGGGTGCTGAGTGCCCACCCAGGCCCCCTCCCCCTCAACGCCAGGACACCCTCTGTCCTCCTGATAATCGCTGACGTCATCAGACGTTATCTAGTGTGGTCGTGGGGCAGGTTACCTTCTGCCCTGGCGGGCTCGTCAGCGTGTCCTCACAAAGCCCTGGCCTCACTTAACGGCATGGAGGGACCCTGGGCTCTCTTCCTCCCTCACCCTGACTTGAGGTTGACACCACGGGGCATTGTCTTTGTCCAGTCTGTGCAGGAGACAGCCCTGACGTGGCGCCCCCGTGCTCCGGGGTGAACTACCTGAGATGGGACCTGAGCGCGCAGCAGATAGGGGAACTCACTGTGCAGCTCATCGAGCAGACCAAGCGTGTGTACGACCAGGTGGGCTCCCAGAAGTTTGAGGACGTGTCCTATGAGAATACACTGAAGGCGCTGGCCGATGTGGAGGTGTCATACACAGGTAAATCCCAGCCAGGCCCCGCGGAGAGGCAGAAGCAGCGGTCCCGGACCCTGGCCATGGGGCGGTGAGGCCACCTACTGCAGAGGACGCTAAGGAGGCAGAGGCGGCCTGCAGGGAGCGGGCAGCAGGAGGCAGCCCGGGGCCCCAGGTCGTCTGTGTGCTCCGCTCCACATCTTACCTGTCGGGCTATGTCACCTGGGGCCACAGGCTGTGTGTCAGCAGTGCACCTGTGCGAGCCAGCCTGCCTGCCCCAGGAGAGGTTCGCGGCTTGTCCCGCTGCGTTCTCAGCTCCCTGTCCTTTACTTGGGTGACCTCCTGCGCTCGGGTCCTCATCCCAAAGTGGGGTCCTTTCCTTGGGGTTTCACTGCTCCCTTGAGAGGAGTGGGGTGCTGGGGAAGTAGATGAAAGGCCTCCTAGAGCCCCTTTGATGGACAGTGGGGCTGAGAGACTGGCAGGTCTTGCAGCTGTGACTCTGAGCCGAGGAGACTTAGGTGAGAAGGTCCCCGTGCCCCAAGCTCTGGAGAAGCCCCTTCTCTGGTGGCTCTGCCGTTGGTGAGGGGTGGATGCGCGGTCCGAACTGTCACTCGGGAAGGGGCTCTGCCTCCCACCCACCTTGCTTCAGAGTGTGGGCCCAGTTCCCAGGCACTTATCTCTGGAGGCTCAAGGGCGGAATAATTCTACTTCCGGCTCACTGGGTGGAATCAGCAGACGGTGCTTGGGCCCCCTCCCTCCCACCCCCAGGACTTCAAATTCCTTCCCATTCAGCCTCCTGAGTCATTTCAGAGGGACCAAATTGAATCGCGCCCCTCCCTGTCCAGCCCTTCGGTGTCTCCCTGCCGCCTCCAGGCGGAAGGCCAGGGTCCGCACCAAGCCACTGTCCGGTGCTCCTGGGCCCCTCACACCCTTCCTGGGCTGTCTCCCTGGCTCTGTGCCTGCTTTTGCTTCCTCATGACCCCTGTCCCCGGGCTGCAGCCTGGAGTTCTCACCTCCATGGTCCTGGAGGTCAGGTCCCGCTGGCCACAGGGTACACTTCGGCCAGGAGGCCCTCCCATGCCTCCCCTCCGCACTGCCACCTGGGTCGGAGCCACTCGGCACCGTTGGTCACCGTCGCAGTGCCGCCGCCATGTTTAACGGACAGAAGCCACTCTGTCCTTTCGGCTTGTGCCCTCAGCCAGCACCACGCTGGCCCAGCCCCGCCGTCTTGGCTACGCGTCAGCCGGTCAGGCCGCTCCCCGTCACCCTCCTTGCAGAGGCCTCCGGTGCAGCTGTCGATAAAGGACCCAGCTGGGGACACGCTGCAGTGTGAACTCAGTTCTCCCTGATGCAAAGCATGTGCTGGTTTTTAAAAAACTGTACCATGTAATTCACCCACTTGAAGAATATATTTCAGTGATTTTTCTGTGTATTGGTAGTGTCGTCCCAGCTATCACCACAATCTAATTTTAGAACATTGCCATCACCGCAAAAAGAAACCCAGCCGCCGTCAGCAGTCGCCCCCAGCCGCTCCCCCACCCTCTGTCACCACAACCCCGCGCTCTGTGGCACCGTCGTGTGGCCACGTCTCACCGGGGCCCACACTCTGTGCGGCCTTGTCTGGTCCCTCCCTGTGGGGGTGGGCGGCAGAGCTGCCCCCCTTTCGCGGCCAGTGACGTTCCCGTGTGACACTGGAGCCTGTGTCTGTCCGTCCGTCTGTCCGTCCCTGAGTACACCAGGCTGCCACAGTTTGCAGGTTACGGTTTGTACTGCGGTGTCCGTGTGTGCGGGCTTCTGCATGGCCGTGTGCCCAGGAACTGCCGGGTGACGTGACCGTTAAACTTACGCTCTCAGCCTCTCACACGTCCTCAATTTAGCAAAGTAAATCTGCTCTGTAAATGATGCGGGCATTTGGGAATTTCAAACACAGCAGCAGTGACTCTCTGTAGAACTGAGCCCTTTTGCCTCTCGGTGTGTCACGCTTCTCTGTCCTTCTGGACTTGGCGTATTGTGAGTTAGGCCTGTTCCCTTTCGGACTGAGAGACCCCCAGGATCCGACGGCCTCCTTTCTGCAGCCCCGTGCCCAGTGCAGGGCCTGGCACGCACAGCGTCTCCGGGTGAGGCGGTGCCTGCGGGGTGGCCCGTCTCTCCCTGTGGCCCGCTTCCACACCTGACCCGTTGACTCCCGTTTCAGTCCAGAGGAACATCCTTGACTTCCCCCAGCACGTTTCTCCATCCAAGGACATCCGGGCGGCCAGCACAGAGGCAGACAAGAAGCTGTCTGAGTTTGACGTGGAGATGAGCATGCGTCAGGACGTGTACCAGAGGATCGTTTGGCTGCAGGTGAGCGGCCGCGCGGGTGCCAGGTCTGGGGGCTCCTCGGGCCTTGTTTCTGGGCGCTCTGGAGTCGGAGAGCTGGGAGCATGGCGGCCGTGTGGGCACCAGCAGGCGGCACCTCCCCAGGGACCCTGCTGCTCCCACACTGAGAAGGAAGAAAGTGCGGGGTCCTGGGGTGCTGGGGGGGCACCGCCCTCGGTGGGAATGTGGCGCCGCCCAGCCGTGCGCTTACAAGATTCAAACGCGGGTTTCACGTCGTGTCTGTTTTATCACAATTTAAAATGACAGAGAGGAGTGAAGCAAACGTATCAAGTGCCCGGGACTCGGTGAGCTGCCCGTGCCGCGCCGTTCGCCTCCCGCCTCGGCGCCCCCACCTCTCCTAGCTGAGCCCTGCCCGGGGAGAGGCTGCGTGGCCCACAGACGCCACCGCGGCGTCTGTCTGTCCAGGGTGCAGCTGGTTCTCGAGCCGGTAGTCGGCTCTCTTAGCGGCGTCCAGCGCCCCTAGCCAGGGCTCCTCCAGGGCCGGGACCCAGCCGGCGTCGCCCGCTGAAGGGCCTGTGGGCTGGGTTCGGCGGGGCTCTTCCCTCTTCCCTGTGAACTGGGTGTCGTGTTTGGGTTGGGGCGCAGACATCTTCATTCCCTGAGTCTCGGGGGTCACGGCTGCCTCACCTGGTAGGTGTAGTTTGACCCTTCAGGGAGCTGCCAGGCTGCTTTGGGGAGCCCCGTGTCCTTCCTTGCTCCCTAAGGCGACGTCTGCGTGGCCTAGTTCTTACGGCTTTTCAGCATCTGTTACAGTCATGGCTTTTCACGTAAACAGAACTTGGGTTTTTCTCATTTAGGAAAAAATTCCGAAGGATTCCCTGAGGCCAGAGGCGACGCGGTATTTGGAGCGGTTGATCAAGCTTGGCCGACGGAATGGGCTCCACCTGCCTGAAGAAACCCAAGAGGTGAGTGCCCAGCTGGGGGTGGGAGTAGGAGAACCCCTCGACTTTTTCTTTTTTCTTTTATTTATGTATGCATACAAGAACTCGGATATGGACCAGAAGTGTGGGGGTGCGAGGATTCCCCAGAGACAGAGTGGGGAGCAGAACAGGCCGATCAACTGAAGTCCACTGCCGAGGGGAGCAGCGGGGGGACAGGAGAGGTCTGCTGTGCTCTGTGGGTCTCTCCCTGGCTGGAGATCAAACTTGTGCTGCAGGGGCTGCCAAGAGCTTATACTTATCCCCTGTGCCACCAGGGAGGGCTCCCCCTCCCCAGTGCCCTGTCTGAGGGCCTTACTTCAGCCAGACTCCATCTCTGACAGCTGGACTCCAGTGAGGTCTCTCCCAGTGGCTCCCTCTGCACTTATTCCCACCTTGATTCTCCAGAATCGGGGCCGTGACTCATGGGGGCTCCTGACAGCCCGGGGTGTTGGCTCCTCCCATGTCTAGTCCTGTCCAGTCTCTGAGCCTCGGCACTCAGACACAGCCTCGCTGCTGCCACCAGATGTGGGGTTTCCAGCAGCTCTGCCACGCGGGCTGGGTGGGAGCCTAGGCCTGCAGCTGGCAACCTCGTGCCCCACAGCGCCTCAGATCCCCTTCACGCGGGGCTGCTGGCTCTCAGGACTGGGGCAGGGCTGAAGCTGCTCCTTCTGCTGCAGCCCCACGTTACCCCTCACCCGGACATGGCATTGTTAACTGTTTCTAAAAACTGTGTTCACCCTGAAAGGGCGAAAATTCGGCCCTGTTAACACATGTAAAAGTTCAGCCTGTAGGCTGAAGAGGAGAGGACAGCCAGCTTCCTGCTGGCGACACCTCGGGGTCCTGCTGGGTCGCCCGGCCAGAAGCCCAACGTTGCCAGGTTTCACTTGGCCCGCGCCAGCCTGTCTGGCCGGTCGCCTCCTTGTCTTTCCGACTCCCTCTGCCTCGCCTGCCTGTCCTGCCAGCGGGGAGCCTCTTTCATGGTGCTCTCCTGGTGACCTTCCCTCCCCTCCCCTGTTAATGCCTTTCTCCTTAGAAAATCAAGAGCATCAAGAAGAAGCTGAGTCTCCTGTGTATCGACTTCAACAAGAACCTGAATGAAGATGCTACTTTCCTGCCCTTCACGCGGGAGGAGCTGGGTACGGGCGGGCGGGACCTGCTCCCTCCTTCCCTGGCTTGGGCAGGGGCACTCTGTGCTGCCACGGGGCAGGGAGTGCTCGGCCTCCAGCCTGAGACGCTGCATCCTTCCTGGGAGGGTGGGACCCCTCTGCCCAGGATTCTCCCCTGACAGGAAGTGCCGCCTGGGCTCGGATGTGGGAGTCACGGGCACCAGTCTCAGTCTGGGCCCAGATTTTCCCTCTGACATCTCTTTGCGTTCATGAACATGATCGTAAAAATGAAGAGAAAGACTGAATCGGCCTCCGCCAAACCCAGCTGCCTTGGGGTTTTCAAAGAGCTGGGGCTGAGGCATCTTTTCTTCTTTTTTTAAAGATTTACTTATTTATCATAAAGAGCTGGGGTACAGACTGGAGGTGCAGGGGCAGTGAGAGGACTCACCAGAGACAGAGCGGGGAGCAGAACAGGCCGACTGATGAAGTCCACTGCTGAGGGGAGCAGCAGGGAGACAGGAGAGGGCTCCCGCGCCCTGTGGGTCCCTCCCTGGCCGGGGATCGAACCCAGGCTGCAGAGGTGAAAGTGCTGAGACTGAACCCCTGGGCCGCCAGGGAGGCCCTGAGGTCTCCTTTTGTTTTCCTGAATCCCGCGGCTCGGTCAAGGGGCACCTGGCCAGGGGCTGCTCCTGTGGCTGGCCGTTTCCCCTTTGTGCCCGATGATTTCTTGAGACACGTCTGAGCCCGAGCTCGCGAACCTCACTCTGCCCCGAGCACAACTTTGGGGTGCTGTCAGACTTGATGTATTTCTCAGTCGGTCTTCTCTTGTGGCTCAAGATTTTCTCCTTTCCCCACGTGTTTTTTCTTGATGTCTTTAAGGAAAAGCCATTTTCTCTCAGTGGCTTTAGCCCAGGGCTGTTGTCATTTATTTTGAAGTTCAGGTTGTCCCCACCCACTGCACGTGGTCCTGCTGCCACCTGTCCCTGTCATCACCTGTCCCTCTCGCGGTCTCAGTGTCTGCCTGGGAGGGTGCGGGGCTCACCCGGTGTCTGCCTGGGAGGGTGCTGGGCCCACCCTGGTGTCACCCACACGGCTTTGCCATGGTATTCAGAAATATGATCGGGGCACTGGCTGTGCTCACCGTGTTCATTGCCTTGGGAGCTGCTGTTTCTGGGCCCTTTCGACAGACAGAATTAGGAAGCAGGTGTCTGTGTGCACGTCCATGAGGGGACTACAGCCCCAGGCAGCCGCCATCAGCCCCCCTGGCCTGATTGCCTGTGACCAGTGAGAAATCTGCAGTCTGACAACAGCATGTTCGGACTGGTTTCAGGACCTGGCCCTCTGGGAGGGGAGGATGTGCCACGTGCCAAGGGTGAGGGGAGGTCCCTTTCAGGACTGCTGGGTGCTGTCTGGGCCCACAGGCATGAGCCTGCATGCAGTGACTGAGCGCCACTTGATTGACCGCAGAGCACACGCTTGTGAGGGCTGGAGCACAGCCATGAGGGACAGACATTTGCCCCTCACGTGGCTCAAGCCTTGCAGAAATCTTCCCTCGGCTCCCACATCTGACAGTTGAGCCCGGGTGCCGTGACCTCCCAAACTGTGCCCATTCGCTGCTCCTGACCCTCGTCCAGGCTCCACGTCCCTCCGTGCAGCAGTGAATGTCCTAGGCCATTTGGCCCCTGCAGGAGCCTGGGAGCTTGGGGTATAGTGGGCTTCGCCTCGGCTAAGCTGTGAGGTGGGAACCTCGCGGGATTTTCTGTCTGAGGGCAGCACCTTAGGTGGGCAGCGCAGCAGCGGGAAACCCGTGGCGTGAGCTGCCACGGTGGGGCAGGGCACTGCCCAGCGGGGGGCCCAGTGCTGGTGCCCCGACCGGGGTGAGACCCAGGGCACAGGAGACGGCAGTGCCGTGGACGCTCTGCGGTGGGCGGAGGGCCCGGCCGAGCTCAGCATTTCCTTTCTGAGGGCGTCCTGGTGGAAATGGTGCAGATCACCAAGACGGAGGGCCGGCTGGGGACGGGAGGCCGCCCTGGCTGTGTCCTTTCTTAGGGTTTGGAGGCAGGGCCGGGCCGGTCTGGTGCCCCTGCTGCCTCCCAGTCTCCCTGGCCCATCTGCTGTGCTGTGGCCCGGCGCCCGGCTCTTCCTTTACAGCTTGATTTCACTCCCACAGGGGGCCTCCCTGAGGACTTTCTGAACTCACTAGAAAAGACCGAGGATGAGAAGCTGAAGGTCACCCTCAAGTACCCTCATTACTTCCCCCTCCTGAAGAAATGCCACGTGCCCGAGACCAGAAGGAAGGTGGAGGAGGCCTTCAACTGTCGGTGCAAGGAGGTGAGGGGCGCTGGGGTCTCGGCCCGGGGCCGGCTTGTCCCGCCTAGTGGCTGCTGGCCGGTCTGGCAGGCCCTGCGATTGCATGATGGGTCACAGTGTTCTGAATGGGCTTCTGCGTCTCCTTGTCCACAGCTGGCTGGGTCCCCTGTGTCACTCCCACGAGCCGGGGTGGCTGGGGTGGCCCCTCACAGGGGCCCTCCCCGGAGCCCTGGCCTGCACTGCTCCCCACTTATGGCCATGGAACCTCATGGTTTCTTGACCCCCAAGGGAGTCTCAGGGTAGAGACGCACCTACAGTGGCAGGATAAAACATGTGGAAACTGGAGCCAGCGGGAGGGGAGAGAGCCAGAAGTCAGAACTCTGCCAGCTTGAAGCCCGCAGCCTCCGGGCCCCGGGGGGGTTGGGGGGGCGCGGGGCGGTGGCCACGGCGGCGCTTGTGCTTCCAGGAGAACTGTACGATCCTCAGCGAGCTCGTGACGCTCCGGGCGCAGAAGTCCAGCCTGCTGGGGTTCCACACGCACGCTGACTACGTCTTGGAGATGAACATGGCCAAGACCAGCCAGGTGGTGGCCACGTTCCTAGGTAAACCCTTGCCGCGGGCAGCCTCCGCCCTCGGGGGACAGGCCTGGGTTTGGCGTGGTCCCAGGTGTGTCAGACACGGGGCTCCTTTCGCCTTGGCAGGAAGCTGCCTCTGCGAGCCCTGAGGTGCACTGTTGATCCCCCCTTGTGGCTTGATTCAGCCTTGAGGGTCCCTAATCGAGGGACCCGGTGTGGGGCTCTGCCGACGCCTGGCGTAGGACTCTGGACCAGCACCTCACCAGCCATCCCTTCTCTGGGCTGCCTAAGGTCCTGCGACCCCGCCTCATGCCCTCTGCCAGACCAGGGACGCCCGGGGCAGCTCATCAGGGCTTAACCGGAGGCGGGGGGCGGGGGTCCAGCGGAGGCTGCTCTGGAGAGGTAGCCTTGCCTGTCCACCCCTCCCCAGACGAGCTGGCCAAGAAACTGAAGCCCCTGGGAGAGCAGGAGCGGGCGGTGATCCTGGAGCTGAAGAAGGCCGAGTGTGAGCAGCGGGGCCTGGCCTTCGATGGGCGGGTCAACGCCTGGGACATGCGATACTACATGAACCAGGTGGAGGAGACGCGCTACAGCGTGGACCAGAACCTGCTCAAGGAGTACTTCCCCATGGAGGTGGTCACCCGGGGGCTGCTGGGCATCTACCAGGAGCTGCTGGGGCTGACCTTTGACCTGGAGCCGGGGGCCACCGCGTGGCACGACGATGTGCGGCTCTACTCAGTGCGGGACGCGGCCTCGGGGAAGGTCATCGGGAAGTTCTACCTGGACCTCTACCCGAGGTGCGTGCAGACGCTGGCCGCGGGGCGCGGGAGGGTCCGGAGTGTGCGCCGTGCCTGGCAGGGAGGGGGTGCCCAGGAGGCTCTGCCCGGGGCGCTGGGGCCCGCCGGCCCCTGCTCGAGCCTGCTCCCCTCCGGGAAAGGGGGTTGTGCCTCCGAGCCCACCCCTCACCTCGTGGCGCCGGTGGACTGAGGAGTCGGGGTGCCCGAATCGGGGGCTGCCCTGGGGCCGGCAGTCCCCCAGGCCAGTCAGCAAGCAGGTCGGAGCAGACCAGAGCCCCGGCCGGCCGGCCTGACCCTGCCTGCCCCCCAGGGAGGGGAAATATGGCCACGCTGCCTGCTTCGGCCTGCAGCCCGGCTGCCTGCGGCAGGACGGGAGCCGCCAGATCGCCATCGCCGCCATGGTGGCCAACTTCACCAAGCCCACCGCGGACGCCCCCTCCCTGCTGCAGCACGACGAGGTGGAGACCTACTTCCACGAGTTCGGGCATGTGATGCACCAGCTCTGCTCGCAGGTGGGCACGGGCGGGGCTGGGCGGGGGCCGGGCGCCGCCTGCTGGCGGGTGCGTCCGGAGGAAGTTCCTCCCTGGAACTCACTGCCCACGCGATAGTGCCCACGCGGTAGTGCCCTCGCGGTAGTGCCCTCGCGGTAGTGCCCGCGCGGGAGTGCCCGCTCTTCAGTTGCCGTCAGAGTCCCCCTGACTGGGCCCCAAGCTGCAGAAACCTTGTCCTGGGGACAGAAGCCCCCGGGGCGCCTTGACAGGGCCAGTTCCTCCTGACGCCTCCTGGCCGTCTGTGCCGACCGACCCTGCCCAGGGCCTGCCCGTGCCTGTCCCTGTCCCATCTCCCTCTCACGAAGACACTGGTTAGGCTGGCCCGGCAGCCCCCAGGGACCTCATTTGCAAATACTGTCCCTCGAGTTCCAGGTCTCGGGCCTCCCAGGCCCTGGAGGGGACACAGTTCAACCTCGATAGCCCCGGAGAGCTGCTGGGAGCGTTCAGTGGAAAGGGCGCTGTAACTTGCTCAGCACGGCCGGGTGCGTGCCGGCTGCTAACTGGCACCGCCCACGTGGCGCACTGGAGGCCAAGAAGGAGCCAGAGCCAGGGCCAGGGCCTGGGCCAGCGAGCTCAGCAGCCCTCGGGCCCCGTGCGAGCTGCTGGCTCTCCCCACACAGGCCAGCCGTCCCGAGAGCAAGACTGGTCAGAGGCCAACCAGGAGCATGGGGCCGGGGCGCACTGGCTCTCGTAGTTCACTAAGTGCGGCCATCACTAACTCCACAACACTCCGTCGGCCCATAAAGACCCTTCATTCTCACTAGTGGTCACTCCTCTCCACCCGGGTCCCTCAGCCCTCAGCAGGCGCCGCCGTGAATGCACCCCCATGCTCGACGGCTCTGACAGGGGACCCCCACACACCTGTCCTCGTGCTCAGACCCTCCGGGGTGGCCCCGGCGCCCCGTGGCCGCGGTGCGGCAGACCCCAGTAGACTGAGGCGCTCCGCCTGGTGGCCTCTTCCCCTTGCGGTCCACGCTTTCTGTGTCCTGCCCAGGAACCGTTTCCCAGCTCAAAGCACTAAGATGGTCTCTTACTTTTCCTTGAGATTTTACCCCCTCGTCTGTTGTGCCTCGTGAGCTAAATGTCTGTGGCGTGAGTAAGTCGGCCACTCACCTGCCAGAGCTCCTCAGGCCAGCAGCGCCCACCGCGCACCGGGCCTCGGGGCTCGCGGCCCCCGACCCCTCGGTGTGTCCTGACACATCACTGCTTGCCACTTCCTGCCTCTCTGCACAACAAGCCACGCACATCGCTTGTGTCTGAGCCTTTCCCTGCCGGCAGCCCGCAAGCTCTCGTGCCCTCCTTGAATGCCCACTGCCGGTACTCTCCGTGGTCTCGGGGACAGCGGGCCCGCGCCAGCATTGTTGTCCCCCTGCCCAGGTGTGCCTGGGGCGCCTTGACCTCCGCCCGCGGGGTCTGAGCGCCCTGTGCGTCTGCCCCACCCTGCAGGCCGAGTTCGCCATGTTCAGTGGGACGCACGTGGAGCGGGACTTTGTGGAGGCCCCATCGCAGATGCTGGAGAACTGGGTGTGGGAGAAGGAGCCGCTGCTGCGTATGTCCCAGCACTACAGGACGGGCAGCGCCATCCCCCAGGACTTGCTGGACAAGCTCATCAAGTCCCGCCAGGCCAACACAGGTGCCCGCCAGGTGCCCGCTGCCCCCAGCCTCCAGACCCGGGGGACCGGGGCCCCGCTGCTCCCAGCCCGGGTGCCACACCAGCCGGAGGCCTCTGTGCGCGCGGGGGGGCCCTGCGGGGGGGCTGGAGATGGCTGGGGTGGGTGCACAGCCGGTCTCCTCCTGCCCTCCGCCCTCCAGGTCTCTTTAACCTGCGCCAGATTGTCCTGGCCAAGGTGGACCAGGCCCTGCACACGCAGACGGCTGCAGACCCGGCGGAGGAGTATGCCAGCCTCTGCCAGGAGATCCTAGGGGTCCCGGCCACACCAGGTACCTGCTTTTTGCTGGGCCCATCTGTGAAGTCAGGGTCGCGGCCGTCCCAGGGTCAAAAAAGACCAAATGAGTCAGGCGGGAGTCAGGCCAGTTCCAGGGTCTCTGCTGAGACCCCAGGGAAGCAGGCACCCTCTGGCCCACTTCTGCTCGGCTCACTTGGCGTGGGTGGCAGTTTGTCCAGGGTGGGTGCCTCCGGGCGCCCTGGCCTGTGTGGGGTCATACCCCGGCTGACGTGAGGGGCTGTGCCCCCGCCGCAGCGTCCCCTCGCGGGGTGCTGGCCCCTGCCTTCCAGACGTTTGGGCCTGCCGGCCCTCTTCCAGGTGGGGGAGTGTCTGATGGGGCCGCTCTGAGCTGCCGGGTCCTGGGGGGAGCCCTGAGAGCAGCAGCCAGACCAGCTGCAGCAAGAGCCTAACCGTGTCTGTCTCAGGGACCAACATGCCCGCGACCTTCGGCCACCTGGCGGGTGGCTATGACGCCCAGTACTACGGCTACCTGTGGAGCGAGGTGTACTCCATGGACATGTTCCACACGCGCTTCAAGCAGGAGGGGGTCCTGAATGGCAAGGTGAGCGCAAGAGGGGGTGCCCGGCTGGGAGTGGGCTTGTCACCTGCACTTAGGCTCACGGCTGGCCTTCCCTCGGCCCTGCATGCCCTGCGGCTGGAGGCCTGAGGGGGCTGCACCCCAGCCCCACGCACCAGGGTCTTGGCTGGCTGCCTGGCTCTTTGCGCCCTCACTGCAGGGGCTTCCGTCCCTGTTCCGGGGCTCAGTGGGGGTCCCCACCCGCCGTGTAGGCGAAGGCACCCCCCGGTGTTCCTGAAGGAGGCAGGACCTGTGCAGTGAGCACGCACGGCGCAGACACCCCACTCATGCCTTCGTGATGCTGACAGGCGGCCGGTGTGGGGGTGGGGTGGGGCGCCCACCTGGGAGGCTACAAATGCCCAGCCCCGACCCTCCCCCTGGCAGGTCGGCATGGATTACAGAAGCTGCATCCTGAGACCCGGTGGCTCCGAGGACGCCAGTGTCATGTTGAAGCTCTTCCTGGGCCGAGACCCCAAGCAGGACGCCTTTCTCCTCAGCAAAGGGCTGCAGGTGGAGGGCAGCGAGCCCCAGGCCTGCTGACCGTGCTTGGCCAGGTGTCCTTTCGGAACAGGCTCAGCCCTGCCGCCCTGGTGCCTTACCCGCCGGCCAGGACTGGGCGGCGCCAGCAGTGGAGTGGGGGGGCCCTATGCCTCACCCTCTTCACTTCTCACCCGGTCTCTGAAGTCCCCCACTTGGTGGCCGACCGGGTGGATGTAGTCTTACCTTGAGGTGTCTGGAGAGTTCTGCTGTCCTCCAGGACCTCGTCTCTGTTGCACTAACAGCCCTTCCTGGGAGGTTTTCCTAGTTGAGAGACAGTCTTTGAAATGCAGCCATTAAAAATCAGAAAAGACAGCCTCCCTGGCCCTTCTGCACAAACCAGTCGAACTTCGGTTGCCACCCTCGGAATGAGCCCTGCTGCTTCCTCTGGACCTCAGCTCACCTGGCTGGGTCGGCCCTGGGGCGTGGGGACGCCTGGCGGGTGCGTGGCACGGAGTGCCAGCGCCGAGTCATGACACGTTGGGTCACTGCAGGGTGAGTGCGCCCCGGGGGTGGGGGCCCTGTCTGACCGCGTCAGGCCCCTGCAGGGTCAGTCACTCAGAGGTGTCTGTCTCCTGCCAGCCTCTTGCCTGGAAAAATCCTCCCGGGCCTGTGCAGCCCTGACCGGCTGTGAAACCAGACACCATCTTGCGAGGCTGCAGAAAGCGAGGACTCTGCCCGGGCACAAGCAGCCAGGAGTCCTCGTCCTCGGGGCCGGCTGCCAGCCCTGGCTTCGTGCCTCACTGGCCAGCGTTTGGGAATTTGATACACTGGTTTCCGGCAAGCGGGCACTGCTGCTACACCCCGTCATTGCCTGCCTTGCTCCCTGACCTTGACGCCCTAAGGCTCATGCGCCCAGAGGCAGATACGGCGCCCTGTCCCCGGCCTGTGACTGGGGCCTGGATATGAAGCGGGGGACACCTGGCCCACAGGGAAGCAGCCTTCCGGGGTCCTCTGGCCACTTTCACAAGTGGCGTGGTGGAGTCTTGGTGCAGTAAAGCCAGGAAGGCCGCGGCACTGGCGGGGTGCGGGTGTCTGCGCAACCTCCCGTCTTCCCTGCGGCCTAGCCGTCCCCGGCAGCCCTGCTCCTGCCCTGAGCCACCCCTCCCCACCCCTGCCCCACCTGCAGGCGCTGGCCAGGCCCACCTCCGTCCTCACCTCCGGGACCCAGCTGCCGGTCCGTGTCCACCTGCCCTCAGGGGGAGGTTGTGGACCGGGCCGTGTGTTCTGGTGCAGACCTGGTTTGGGGCTTCCTCAGCTTCCTGCTCAAGCTCTGGGGCAAACGCAGGGTTTTCACAGCAGCTCGCCACCCAGAGCAGTGGGTGTGCTCGCTGGCCAGGCCGTGCCAAAAGGCAAAGCAGGATGTGGGGTTCGCACAGGGGAAAGGGTGGCCCCACCCACTCCCACTCGCAGCCTCTGCCACCAACTCGGTCACACCTGATGCGCAAGTCTTGGGCTGGCTGCCTCCCTCACTTAGTGCCTACCTGGCCTCCTCTCTGTCCCTGAGCAAAACCCGGGGTGTCACCGGCACCCATGCACAGGTGTGCGTGGGCACGGCCTCGGGGTGGGGTGGGGTGGTGGAAAGATGAGTCGTCTTGAAGGTCTGCCTGGCTCGCTTGCCAACTTGCCCGGTCAGGCCTGGCGTCCAGACCAGGGGCCCCTTGCCCTCTCTGAGTTCCTGCCCTTGTGTTCGTTCCTCCCTGCGGCCCCTCTCCTGCATCTCTAGTTTGCCAGAGGACTCGGGGAGGGGGTACAGATTCTGGTGAGGGCCCTTGCCACTCAGAGACCATTATTTGCACCCAGAAGGTGTAGCCTATAAGAGAGTGGCAGGCCCAGAGCGTGCATCCCCGGAGCAACCCTGACACACCGTGCAGGTTGGTGGGGCCTCACCCCAAGGGCCTCTTTCTCCAGCCACTTGCTTTTGCTGCCTAGCCTGTAGATCCCTGGTTCCCTCCCTTTGTTCAGGCCCTAGTTTTCAGACATCTTGGACATCCCAGGCTAAAGTTCCACTTCTCTGTACATTCCATGATGACTTGCAGCACGTGTCACTACTGAGCTGATCGCATATTGACTTGGAGACTTACCTGCTCCCGTGACCACCTTGCCACACCCCACAGATGTACTTACTCAGCGCAGAGTTGCCTCTCCTGCAGCTGAGCCCACAGTCAGTTGCAGAATTAGTGAAACAAGGAGGCAGACTGCAGTACTGGAAATGTCCAGTGGGTGGCAGGACCTCACCACGTGTTCAAGGCTCCCCTCTAAGAACTCTGGGACCCTGGGTGGAAATCATCCTTAGATGTGTGGCAGTCTTGCTTTCCTAGACTTTCCCTGGTCCAAAAGAAGTATGGTGATGGGCCACATGTAATTTTAAATCATGTACTGACCAAGTAAAAATTAATAGGTCAAATTTAACCCAAAATAACCAATTTTTTTTTAAAGATTTAGTTATGCACACAGAACTACTGTACAAGCCTCAGGTGCAGGGGTGGTGAGAGAATTCACCAGAGACAGAATGGGGGGCAGAACAGGCAGATTGACGAAGTACACTGCTGAGGGGAGCAGCGGGGAGACAGGAGAAGTCTGCTGTGCCATGTGGGTCACCCCCCTGGCTGGGGATCGAACTTGTGCTGAAGAGGCTGTGGGCCAGTTTTGTAATACTGTGCTTTAACTGTTGTGCCACCAGGAAGGACCCAATATTTTGGGTTTTTTTTTTTAAAGATTTATATATACCACAAGAACTGGGGTACAGACCAAAGGTACAGTGGGGAAGGGGTGAGAGGACTCACCAGAGACAGAGTGGGGAGCAGAACAGTCAGATCCACTGAAATCCACTGCTGAGGGGAGCAGCTGGCAGGTCAGGAGAGGTCCGCTGCATCATGTGGGTCACTCCCTGGCTGGGGATGGAACTCATGCCGTGGTGGCTAGAGAGCTTCATAGTGCTACGCTTTAACCTGTTGCGCCACCAGGGAAGGCCTGCAGTAGTTTGTTGATCACTAAAGCAGTTGCCCCAGAATGGTGCATTCACAGAGGTTAGAAGAAACCAGACTCCCAGCTATAATGAAAGTTACCCAGAATCCCATTTACCGGCTGAATAAAGGCAAGTGATGGGAGACACTGGTATTTATTTCTTAAGCACGGCACATTAAACCCAATGAATCTGAGCACAGCAAACGTGACTTCCAAGTTAATGTGTCCAGTTAGCTTTTTCCATTTACCCAAATTTGGAATCACAGGTTTATCTATCTAGGAGACAATGAAGAAAAACAAGTAGAAAGATGTGACATTATACAACAGTCTCCAGTGTCCGAAGGTTTGTTCTCTGAGGAGTCAGTCATCCACTTAGCCCTTAGCCCAAATAATTAATAGTATTTTATACAATCATACAAAAACATCGAGACCACATTCACAGAACTTACTTCTTAGAATTGTTCTGGTAGCCTTTTACTATGCCCAACTTATAAACTCAACTTTCTCAGGTGCATACATAGAGGGGGAAATTTAGCACATACAGGGTTCAGGATTATCCTTGTGGTTCCGGGCCCTCACTGGGGGGTCTGGGAACACATCCCTGTGGATAGGGGCATGAGGAGGAGTGTATTCATTAGACCGCTGGTGAGTTCAAACTAGGGTTGTTCTCCTCAGCAGCATGAATCTGCAGTGATCTGAGTAGCAGTGATCTGAGTAGCCGTGCCCAGCCCCACCCCATTCGTGTGTTGTAACCCTAGTGCCCAATGTGATGCTGTAAGAGGCTCCTTTGGGAGGCTCCCACCCCTTCTGTCGGGTGGACACTGGAAGAGGGCACCACCAAGAACCTGAGCCCGAGCACAGACTCTGAGCTTCCAGAACGGCAAGAAATTTCTGTTGTTTCTAACCCACCCAGTCTGGCCTTTGGTTACAGCCACCCGCCTAGACCAAGTCCAGCCCTGAATTTGTGTCTGTCTTCAGAATTCACAGGCCAATCTCCTGTCACTTCATGGGCCGTGAAATCACTCATGTAGCACCCGGAGGACAAATTTCAACTTTCTGCTTTTTAAATCGCCTTTTCCTTACAAGGAAGTTGAGCTACAAGAGATGCGGCATTTTGAAAAAGGGGAAGCATTCAATTTGGAGACATCCGTTCTCCTGTGTCGGTCAGGTGTCTTCACAGCACGGTGCAGCAAACAGCCGGTCTCCACGGCCTGCAGAAACAAGCTCTAGTGTTCTCAGTTCTGTGAAGACGTAGGCTGTGCCTCTACTGAGCTTGGCTGGAATCCGCTGAGCATGAGGCTTAGGGGGAGTTTCAGATCCCACCTACGTGTCCCCGGGTGTTCTCGGACTGACAGGCCATGTATTCATGGAATATATCCCGAGCCCAGTTGGGGAGTGGAAACAGGCACCCTTAAGAGCCAGGTTAGTATTTCATCACTTTCATTGGCTAAAACAAGACATGTGGTCATGCGCCCCCCCCCCCCCAGCTTGGCAAAGTGCTCTATGGCATCTGTCGTAATATTCTGGCCACTTTCCTGCCAAAGCTCTATTCCCAGGGAGTGAAAAACTGCTAACGACAACCGACCATATCTAACAACTATTCACTCGTTTTATAAATATTACACCAACAATTTGACCGAGAGCATAATGGCAAACGTCGGGCATCGTGCGAGGAAGGGTCGCGCATGCGCCTGAGCGGGCACTGGCCCGCGCCTGCGCTGGGCGGGCACAGGCCCCGCAGGGCTGCGCAGACGCTGCCCGCCAGGAGGTGGCGCTGTGAGGCAACTCGCTGCCCCCGGAGGGACGCGGCCGCCCGCACCGCGCCCGGCGCCTTCTGGGACTTGTAGTGCACGGCCTCGGGGAGCGCCCACGCACTGCCCAGTGGGTTCTGGGTTTATGTCCCAAGCGGGCGGCGGCACGGGCGCTTTCGGGGTAGGGACACCGTGGGGAGGCGTCCGCGGGGTGGGCCTCAGTGCCGAGTGTCCCCGTAGCATCCGGGCTCACAGTCCTCGGAGCAGCGCGCTGACCGCCATGCGTGGCCACACCGGGCCGGAACGCGAACGACCCCACTTCTGCGGTGAGTCGGGCGTGGTCTGCGCGGTCGGAGCCAGGTTGGAAGGGCCTTGGAAGGGCGGGGGCGGCTGGGGGTCGGCGCTCCGGGCTGCGATCTGGGCGGCGGCCTTGCGCCGTTCCCCGGGGGGTTGCGCCATCTATCACAATGAGGCACCGAGCAGCGTCCGCGAGACCCGGGCAACTTCTCCAAGGCCATCCGGGACCCTGATGGCAAAGTCTGATCTTTGTCTGGTGAAAAGCCCCAGGGTGAGAGACAGACGGGGTGGGGGTGGGGTGGAAGGTGGCAAACCCGACGCATCGCTTAGAGGCCCGCTCTAAGGGGAGAGGGAGGAAACGCATTTGTTTCGAGGCAGACGAGGGGCCGGGATGCCCCGACTCCTGAATGCAGTCGCCTTTGGGCTACTTCTTGGGCCGAGCCAGCGGTTCTCAAGTGGGGTGAGCTGTCCCCCACCCCCATCTCCACCACCACGGACACCGGGTGGTATCTGGGACATCTATTTCTATAATAATTTTCTGTTTCCTAGGGGCTGTTTTTTGAAGGTATCATCCATGAAAATAGCTCAAGCCCAGGTAGCCAATGAATGGACCCTGATTAGTACTCAGCATGAGCGTTTTCACATCCAGGATGTCACCTCAGGGGGGCAGGGAGCTCATCTGTGGTAAGCCAGGACGAAGCAGGGCGGCTCAGGGTTTTGCAAAAGCCTGTACGGTTGTTAGAGTGGTCGAAACAGCCTGGATCTGGGAGCTTTTGTGACGGGCGGGTGAGACCTCTGTGCAGAGCCAGAGTCCATTCTCAGTGTAGCATGGCGAGTGGGTTATCTGTGAGGAGCAGGCTGGGGTCGGGGGTGGGGTACTGCTGGGAGAAAACATCTGGAGGCATTCTGAGAAACCTGGCAGGATCCCTGCCAGGACAGGGATAGCCCTCCCCACTCCGAGGGATTGGGGTGGGGGAAGGGAAGGCTTTATTCAGATGTCGCGGCGCTCAGAGGGCAGTCGCTGACTTTGGAGTCTTGCTAAAACTGGGGGGTTGATGTGGGACCCCAAAGGTTGAGATCCCGTTGAGAAGAGGACTCAGACCTGTTCAGTCAAGGAGATAGTGTTGGGGTACAGAGGTGCCAGGGTCAACTCCAAATCCCCTTCTTGGGCTGTCCCCTGGAAGGGAAGGGACTACCAGTGGTTCATTCCCAGGAGAATTCAGGACACAGTCTCTTGCTGCTGCCTTTTTTTTTTTTTTTTTAAGATTTGTTTATGCATAGAAGAACTGGGGTACAGGCCATAGGTATGGGGGGGTTCACCAGATACAGAGTGGGGAGCAGAAAGTCAGATTAGCAGAAACACGCTGCGAGGGGAGCAGAGGGGAGACAGGCGAGGTCTGCTGCACCCTGTGGGTCACTCCCTGGCCAGGGATGGCACTCATGCTGCAGGGGCTGCGGAGAGCTCCATAGTGCTGTGCTTTAACCCGTTGCACCGCCAGAGAGAGCCCTCTGCTGCTTCTTACTAGGGAAACACCAGTGAGACAATGGACGTCTCATGCCATGCTTTCTCTCCTCACCCCCAAGCCTCCCACTGCAGTACCAGAGCAGTTTGGCAGGAGGGACCAGAGGAGGCCGGGAGCCATGGGGGAGGGAGGCAGGGAGCCAGCCAGCCCGGGCAAGGAACAGGAATCAGAGACGGGAATCAGAGATGCGTGGGTGGGGGCACCTTCAGGTTGGAGTGTTGGGAGGAGAGGAAATTTCCCCTACCCCTCTCCAGATTAGTTGAAGAAAAAACAAATATAAGTACACCTATATGGAGAATATACATAGAAATGAGGATCCCAGGGTCAGTGAGGTAAAATGAATCTGTCCCAGCTAGGAGTGGAGACCTGTCCTGCCTGTCTTGGGAGGCCTGGCCCTCAGAGGCCGTGCAGAATGTGGGGCTGGGAGGTCGCACTGGCTGAATGCTGTCCACCAAAATGCCTTATTTTTCCTACATAGTGAAGATGGAGTTGGACTAGAGTAGGGTGGGTGTCGTCCCATTCCTGTGCCCTTTCAAGAAGAGGGGAGGACACAGAAGGTGGCCCTGTGGACACAGAGACAGGCTGGAGTGATGTGGCCACAGGTCCAGCATGTGTAGTTTCCAGAGGCAGGAAAGACCCCCCCTTGAAGCCTAAAACATGCGGACCTAAGATCTGTACACTCAGGGCTATGTGGGAGAATAAATCTCTGCTGTTTCAGGCACCCAGTGTGGTCATTTGCTAGAACAGTCCCAGGACATGAATTTGGGGGATTTGTGCACTTGGGTGAGAATTGCCCCCGAGACCCTCAGTCTCTTCATTTCCCAGTTGGAGACATTAATGCGCCAGGCTGCCGGCCTGGCCTCTGGGGGCTGCCCTCTGGCTCGGGGTCTGGCCTCTGGGGCTGCACTCTGGCTCGGGGTCTGGCCTCCAGGTCTGGCCTCCAGGGCTGCCCTCTGGCCCAGGGTCTGGCCTCCCAGGCTGCACTCGCTCAGGGATCTGGCCTCCTGGGCTGCCCCCTGGCTCGGGGTCTGGCCTCCAGAGGCTGCCCTCAGGTTCGGAGTCTGGCCTCCGGGGCTGCCCTCTGACTCGGGGTCTGGCCTCCCGGGCTGCCCCCTGCCTCGGGGTCTGG